AGAAAATTGCTTGAATGCAATGTTGATGATGGCCGGTAGTGATCCAGTTACTTTCAAAGAGGTTGCGTTGAGTAAGCATTGGAGGGAGACTATGGCAAGTGAAATAGAAGCAATAAAAAGGAATCACACATGGGAACTCACTACATTACCTCCTGATGTTACACCCATTGGAGTCAAATGGGTATTCAAGACAAAGCTTGATGAAAAGGGACAAGTGGAGAAATATAAAGCGAGACTTGTCGCTAAAGGCTACGCACAAAGACATGGAATAGATTACACTGAGGTATTTGTACCAGTGGCTCGGCTTGATACAGTCCAAGTAATCTTAGCCACAGTTACGCACTACAATTGGGAAGTATTTCAATTGGATGTAAAGAGTGCGTTTTTACATGGAGAGCTCGAGGAAGTCATTTATGTCCAACAACCAGAAGGTTTTGAAATACAAGGGGAAGAAGTGAAGATATATAGGCTTAAAAAGGCACTATATGGTCTCAAACAGGCACCATGAGCTTGGTATCACAAAATCGAAGCTTACTTTACACAAGAGCAATTTGAAAAGTGTTCTAGTGAGCATACATTATTTGTCAAGTCACAAGGCAACAAGATTCTTATAGTCAGTCTCTATGTAGATGATTTAATATTTATTGGCAATGATAAGCTAATGTGTGATGAATTTAAATAGTCTATGATGTTGTAGTTTGCTACGATTGATCTGGGCAAGATGAGTCACTTTCTTGGTATTGAAGTGTAGCAGAATCACAATGGTATATTTATCTGTCAAAGGAGATATGCACACGAGAGGTGTTATCCAAGTTTGGCATGTTGGACAACAATGCAGTAAAGAGTCCAATAGTGTTAGGCACTAGACTGTCATCAGAAACAAAAGGGGAGCAGGTTGAGGAAACATTGTATAAATAGTTAGTAGGTTGTTTGATGTACTTAATTGTAACAAGACATGATCTGATGTATATAGTCAGTTTGATAAGCCAATTTATGACCAAACCCATCACAACACATTGGCTTGCTGCAAAACGAATTCTAAGATATGTAAAAGGCACAATGGACTTCGAGATTTGGTACAAGAAAAAGACTGGTAGTATAAAACTATTAGCCTTCACAGACAGTGACTATGCAAGTGATTTGGAAGATCGGAAGAGCACATCTGGATTTGTCTTTAAGTTGGGTACAGGAGCAGTGTCTTGGGCATAAAAAAACAAAGTGTGGTTGCACTGTCTACAACTGAGGCTGAATACATGGCAGCAACCCTTTGTGTGTGCTAGTGTGTTTGACTTGGAATGATACTCAAGCATATTGAAATTAGACATGAGATTGAAATTGAAATTATGTGGGATAACAGTTCTACTATACAACTGTCCAAACATTCGGTGTTTCATGACAAGAATAAACATATTGATGTAAGATTTCATTTTCTTAGAGATTTAGTCAATAGTGGGGAAGTTCAACTCAATTTTTGCACCTCTCAATATCAAATTACAGATATTATGACAAAAACACTTAAGTTGGAGCAGTTTGAGAAATTGTGAAGCTTACTTGATCTAACTAGTATAAAAGCACTGATTTAAGGGAGAGGATGTTAGGTTTGTTTAGTATTTTGCTTTTATCTGTTCTTAGATTTTAGGAAATAATTAGTCAAGTATTTTCTTATTTTTTGTGATCACACTTTATTGTAGATGTGATTAATTAGCTATTTCTGCTGTACTTTGGTTATATAAAAGCCATGTGTGTTTGGTCATTAAAGGTCAATAAATATATCAGAGTAGATTTTATCACTTATTTTATATTTTATAATCTCGTATATCTAGTTCTACAATATTATAAAATATATTTTTAAAAAATTATTTCAACAATTTAAAAAAAATATTTAACAATTTTATAATAAAAAAATTATAAAATCGATCCAAATCTACCACAGCGTTTAGTTTAGACTTTCTTATAATTGATTCAAATGATGAAAAATCAAATTATACCGATTTGTGAATAAATCTGTTTAACATACTGATGTTTTTTTCGTATAAAATACACACAAATTAGATATTATTTTTCTTCTTAACAATAAAATTATTCAATGTAGTTTGTAGAATAAATTGCTGACCTTAAAAAACATAAAATAGAACTCAAACTATCTAGACCCACGTAATGTTAATCTATGAATGAAGTCATCCTCCTCAACCTAACCATCCATAAACAAAATTAATTAAAACACTCATTTTCACATTCATTCTTGCAAAGGACCCAGCCCAATGATTCAGAAGCTATATATTGGGCCAAAATTTAATGGCATGATTACGGCCCAATTTCCTCGGCTTCTACAAAAATATTGGTTGAATGTTTTTTCTTTTTCTTTTAAAATGTATATTTTTTTAATTAGTTCTTAAATACTAATAGTTAAATAATTCATTCTATACCATAAAATTATGATGTTTATACCTTTTTATATTCTTGTTTTTATGCAGAATCAAATGGTTTAATATCCTAATGCAACCTTCACTTTAAGTATCTGACTCAAGTTAATGATAATTAATTAATTAATATTTTTTCTTCTAGTTTCTTTGGTTCAATTTGAATAATTGATAAATGGAGTTGATAGATTTCCACAGGGGTGACATCGTGTGTAGTTTGTAGATAGTTATGTTGCATCCAACTGGTCGTAAGTGAGGCACAAAGTTGAAATCATGACTTGATGGTATGCCAAGAACACCAAGGTTGAAAATGAAACTGAGTAAAAGCCAAGAAAAATTCATAACATTGTAAAGTGATAATTATAGATTATAGCTTAAAGCAGCCTATTGTTTATTTTTATTTATTATTTTTTTTAAATGAAGGTATTATTCATAGACATATATAATTTATAGTTTTGTCGTGTTCTGCGCCTTAATTGGCTTTCACGTTCTTAAAAATGTCAATCTTCTACATGTATGATTCAAATTTTTAAATAATTCAATGGTGATAAAATTAATTATATAATAGGTTTATGAGTTTGATTAAATAATTTATGCTAGACGCAAGAATTTTGATCATTATAAACCTTTGATGATATAAATCTTCTTTCTTTTTTTTTAAGAAAAAAAAACGTGATTAAAAATTACGTAAAAAATAAAATAAAATGAGCTGGCAGTTTGTAGTAATAGTAATGGACACAGATGTTGTCGGTGTCGATTGGCAGTTCGAATGAATCAAACATTATTTCACAGAAAAAAGTTAGATTCTATTAGATTACTGTTCGCCGACAACCTGGTATATGCGTTTTATTTATTTTTTTGTTTATTTAAAGTTTGATAACAAAATTACTTTTTTATATTTCAATTTATTGACGATTAATATATTTAAAATAACTTTCCCATTCTATATGATGTTTAAAAGTTAAGTGATATAAAATAAGAATTTTTATTTATTTAAATATTTATATTTTTATCATTTTACATAAATCAATGTCACATCATATTTTATTATATTCTTATTATGTATTGGGCAAAATATATAGGATGAAGAACTTAACTTTAATAATCGTGAAATTATAGTAATTACAAATAATTACAATGAAATGCTATCTTAGCAGATGAGATTTAAAATTATAGAAATTAGCACATACATTTTCACACCAAACAAATATAAATATTTTAACACATAAAATAAAATACGAGACTAAAAAGTGAAAATAATTTTTATAGTATAATAGTAATACACTTTGTAGATATTTAAATTTTTTTGTTTCAATGTAAAATATAAAATAATTTCTCTAGACGTAAAATTTGACCAAAATATTGTACAAGAATTCTTCATAAAGATTATTTATTCTAAGCAAAAAGTCAACTATCTTCACCTAGAAACCTATCTTGAAAGAAGAAGAAAAACTTCAATCAAAAGATATTTTTTTCCCTGTTGAATTTGTTAGAAATGTTCAAAGCAGGTTATATACGCGTTCTTGGTTAAAGAAAGTTTCTTCTCAACAAAACGAGTTTAGAAATAATTTGAATACATTTTTGTCACATTATAAAAAATATTTTATAATTAATCGAAATTTATTAAAATTATAATGTTTGATAATCTCACATTTTATTTAATATTTTGGCATACTCTTCAATTCAACCAACAATTATTTTATATACACGGAATAAATTCGTCAATCTTTCACCATCATAACTTCTACTTGAAAGCTATGCCCAATTTTTAATTAATAGATTCCACCTCATCTTCGAAAGCGATTCCTTTTTCCTCTTCTTCAATGAATTCGATTAGGCGATTATCCACGAAATGGTTCAATTTTCCATTGTCTCCTCTAATTGTGTGAACTTTAATTTTTATTTTATTTTAATGTTTTATAATTTATATATTGCAATACGATCAAGGGAAAAAATAAATTCAAACCAAGATATTTTGAGAAAAGTACACAATCATACCAAAATTAATGTTAAGGAGGTCATCAAACACATGTCTGGTTCCAACATCGAGAATTTTTTTTTAAATCAATTTTCTTTAAAAATAATAAAATATAAGCATTAAAACTCTAAAAATATATTTATATTTTTTTTTCTGAAATAATAATAAACTTTAATACGTTATAGAAAGTTAAAAGCATATTTGTTGCGCTGAAAGCGCCATTAGAGCTTGATAAAGTGGGGGTCAAATCCTGAAACCTTGTGAATTGCGATGCATGGAATAAATATTGAAGAAACTTTTGCAAGCAAGTTGGGTTGCTTGAGCTTTTAATTTGCTTGCGTGACAAAAAGGGTTGGTCCTCTTGTTGAATTGCTTACTCCTACCCTTTAATTTCGGGGGGTTATTCTTTTGTTCTTCCAATTACAGAGTTTCAGATCCAGTGGCCAAATCTATAGGTCACGACTTTGGTGAGTCCCGGATATGTCATATGATAGTCCAACCAAAACTAGCGCCCTTCTAACTTAAAGCTAGCAACTTGAGACAGTTTCAAGTTTGAACATCAAAGAGCACACACGGGTCCAATTGGAATCCGAAGCTTAGAGATGGGGTTCCAAGAAAACGGGAATGGGGAAATGGGGTTGTCTGGAATCCCCCTGGGAGCAAAGAACAAGTACAAGAGGATGAACTCTGAGCTTCCTGAGGACAACGATGATGTTTTGTTACGACAGCAACACGAAGAAAGGAAGAGCAATACCAGGAAATATGTTCTTGCCTGTGCCATCTTTGCTTCTCTCAACAATGTCCTTCTTGGCTATGGTATGATTGAAAAGTCTCTGATTTGGTCACTTTTGTGGAAGCCGTCTTCAGTTACCACTTTGATTTCGTTGCTGCATTTTCCATTGACTACTCTGTTTAGATTGTGTCGGTGATGGTTTCTGATAATCCATTCAATTTCCATCTCGTCCTTTGTTTGTGGCCCATCTAGATCAACTTTGTTTCATATGTGATTTACTTTTGCATTAGTGTCTATGAAACAGATCTACAAAAATTTTTTTACACTGTTGTCAAATGAGAACAAATCATCTATAACTTTTAAGGCGGTTATTGTTTAAATTAACAAACGTTCCATAGACGACAATCTGTGACTGTGATTAAATGACAATGTCAGTGCAAGACTATTTAAACTTTATCTCTAAGTGTGTTTTACTGTGGATATTAATTTGATCTTGAATTTTAATTCCAGGGATATTTTGGAATGCCTCGAAGTTTACGTGATTTATTTTGTGAATGTTGCATTTTGCAGATGTAGGTGTCATGAGTGGAGCTGTTATATTTATCAAAGAAGATCTGAAGATATCTGAGGTTCAAGTAGAGATTTTAGTTGGCATTCTAAGCATTATTTCTCTATTTGGTAGCCTTGGCGGTGGAAGAACATCAGATATTATTGGTAGAAAATGGACAATGGCCTTAGCTGCAGTTATCTTCCAAATGGGTGGACTAACAATGACTCTTGCTCCTTCATATGCAATACTAATGATTGGAAGATTTCTAGCTGGGATTGGAATAGGATTTGGAGTTATGATCGCCCCTATATACATTGCTGAGATATCACCAAACCTGAATAGAGGCTCTCTTACTACCTTCCCGGAGATTTTTATAAATGTAGGAATTATGCTTGGTTATGTGTCAAATTACGCGTTTTCTGGCCTTTCAGCGCACACAAGTTGGAGAGTAATGCTTGCAGTGGGAATTTTGCCCTCAGTGTTCATTGGCTTTGCGCTTTTCATTATTCCTGAGTCACCAAGGTGGTTGGTAATGCAGAACCGAGTTGAAGAAGCAAGGTCAGTGCTGTTGAGAACAAATGAAGATGACAAAGAAGTGGAGGAGAGGCTTGCAGAAATACAACTAGCTGCTGGATTTTCCAATTCTGAGAAGTATGAGGAGAAACCCGTGTGGCGTGAACTCTTATTTCCTCCTCCTCCTCTTCGCCGAATGTTGATCACTGGACTTGGAATTCAGTGTTTCCAACAGATCTCAGGAATTGATGCTACTGTGTATTACAGTCCTGAAATTTTCCAAGCAGCTGGGATTGAAGACAATTCAAAACTTCTAGCTGCTACTGTTGCTGTAGGCATAACAAAGACTTTTTTCATTTTGGTAGCAATAATTCTCATCGACAAACTAGGAAGGAAGCCCCTTCTCATGATAAGCACAATAGGGATGACAATTTGTTTATTCTGCATGGGGGGAACACTTGCTTTATTTGGAAAAGGGTCATTTGTGATTGCATTGGCTATTCTGTTTGTTTGTGGGAATGTGGCATTCTTTTCTGTTGGACTAGGTCCTGTGTGCTGGGTTTTGACATCTGAAATCTTCCCTTTGCGCGTGCGTGCTCAAGCATCTGCACTTGGAGCTGTAGCTAATAGAGTCTGCAGTGGCCTTGTGGCCATGTCTTTTCTTTCAGTGTCTAAGGCAATCAGTGTTGCTGGAACATTCTTTCTGTTTTCTGCTATTTCTGCTCTTGCCATTGCCTTTGTCGTCACACTAGTTCCTGAAACTAAAGGAAAGTCGTTGGAGCAGATAGAGATGATGTTTCAGAATGAGTATGAGAGTCAAGGGAAAGAAATGGAGCTAGGAGATGTTGAACAACTTGTGCAGAACAAAACTGATTTAAAAGTTTAATTGATTAATTAGCCCCTACCTTTATGTGACGCTTGTGAATTTTTATTCCATGGTTACATATCTTTCACTTGTTATGCCTAAGGGTCTATGCATGGCATGCTACTTGCGATTCTGGAGGACATAACTGATGAATATGATCTATCGGTACCAGAAAAAAGTCAGATATGTGAGTAGGGAACATAAGGAACATGAAGTGAAGAAGATAAAATGCTTTCTAAACCTTTTCCTAGTTGTACAATTATTCATATTTTTTATTTACATTTAAGTCAATTATAGCATTGTATATTGAGGGAGATTTTTGGTGGAGATGATCATGTTCTGAGACAAATTATAGTGCCTATTACAATGTACCGATGAGGGATGTAATGGAGATGAAGATTCTTTGACAGATAATATTCTATTCAACTCTGGTCTCTGAATTGTGATAATCTTGAGAGCTATCAAATAGCATGTATGCTTCAGTTTCGGAATGTGATTGGCTCCATGCTCTCGTGTTTCTATTATCAAATAATTTTAGTGAGCGATGACTTGGTAGCATATCTCAGGACTATTCGAAGGACTCTGTACAAGCAAAGATGAAAAATTGAATAGTTGAAGACTTCAATTTCTATCAAGGTCTTACAAAACTGTGATAGAGTTGGAGTTATGCTTATATTGTTTAGTTGTTGGATTGTTGCTTAATCTGACATGTGGTCCTATATAAAGAATCTATTAATATATGAAAGGAGAATGAATGGAGTAATGTTGTGTCCATGGTAACTGTAGTTTTCTAAGGAGGGATATCCACGTTCGTTTGGTAAATGTAATGGTTAGGATAGAAATTTTGTTTGCCATGTAAATTAAGGAAGAAAATTAATAAATTCAGTTAACACCCAATTTCGATTAAAGTAAAATATCCAAAAATGGGTAACAAAATTACCCAAAAAAAATATAAGAAAAAAATGTAGAATAAAAAAAAGAGAGAAAAAACCCCTAAGTAATTAAATATATAAGGAATAAAAAAGAGAAAAAAATAGAAAAAGAGAGTAGGGTTATTTTTTATTTATTTATCATTTTTGGAATTAGGAAAGGGTTAGAACGCTGAGGGATATATATATATATATATATATATATATATTTGTTTATTTTTGCATTGTCTTATGTTTGGGTAACTGGTCGGTTTTTATATGTTTTTTAAGTGAGAGAGAACTAAAATTTAGCTCTTGATGTAGTTAGGTAACCACCCATGTTTTTTTCATAATGGTGGACACTCTTTTAGTTTTTGTAATTTTCCTATATATAGAGGTAATTGCTTGTGAATTTGAATAATTCAGAAAGTACAAATTTAGGAGAATATTTACCTATTTGTGTTTACAATTTGGTATTAGAGAGCATTCAGAGGGGTTTGAACCATAAACTATAATGTGAGAGTGAGTGAAACGCCTAGAGGGATTTGAAAAAAAAAAATTGGGTAGGGAGAGTGATACACCGGTGGGTTGCGACTGTTTAGAGAGATCATTTAGAAATTACTGAATCAGTTAAATACATCAAACTCTCAGTACCAAAATTTGATGGACATTATGATAACTGGTCCAAGCTAATGGAGAATTTTCTTTATTTCAAGAAATATTCACACTTGGTGGAACATATGATTGATGTTGTACGAAACAAAGTGAATGTAATAGACAAGACGAATGTTTTAGACACAAAGATCAAATAGATGAATAAAAGACTAATAACTCAAAAATTTAAAGATAAAGAATTATCTCTATCAAGCGAGTGATAGAGAAATTTATAAAGATAATTCTGAACACCATGTCTAAAAATATATGGGACTCTATGAAATAGAAATTCTAAGGTTCAATAAAGGTGAAACCAGACAATTACAAGCCTTAAGAATTTTGAAATATTGTAAGTGAAAGAGGGTGAATCAATAAATTCACAGGTTGCTTGGATTTTGAAGATAGCCAAAAGTAGGAAAGTGGCTGAGAAAAATATGCAAGATGTGTCATATTTTTTTTTATTATTTGTATAAGAGTAGTAAGTCAAAAAAAATATTAGTAATTTACGTCATATATATATATATATATATATATATATATATATATATATATATATATATATATATAAGATATACAAAAGAAAAAAGAATTTTTATTTTTTATTCATTCTATTTTTTCTACAATTATACATGTATTTATATTGTCGGTGGAAACAAACTGATTAAGGAGTTTTGGTAAAAGATAGGAGACATACAAAAGGTAATGTTTCTGGTGGAATTTCGATCGATTCCGATTCTTAAGAGGTTTTGATTCTAATCAAAATTCAACCACGCAAGTTCTTTTTTACTTAGGCTAGCAAATTGATTTTCAATTGAAATGCATAAGAGAATCGAAATTTACATAGTATCAAAAATGCTATTTTTGGTATTTTATGTTTACTATTTTCAAAGTAAACAAAGCAATAGAAGCGTCAAATCGAAAAGAAAAACAGAAAATTGAATTGTCAAGAGGTAAAAATGCGGAAACCTCAAATTTGCATTAAATGACAAGAAATTGGAGTAGCAAGAATGTAAATGGCATGAAATCGAGATTGCAGAAAATATAACTGGTAGGAAATTGAAATACGCAAAAATGTAAATAACAAGAAATCGAGATTACAGAAATGTAAATAGCAAGAAGCTTAAATGCGGAAACTTAACTTTCATTAAAGGAAATGACAAGGAATCGAAAGTACAGAAACTTAAAGTTGCTAAAGATAAATTGCATCAAATTAAATTACCAGGGAAAATAAAGAAAGCGGTAAAGGTACTCAATGAGCATGGAAATCCAGATCGCCAGAAACTTCATGATGTTCGTCGTTCTCCGGTAGACTTCTCACTAGTATTTCTGTTCTCTGCCAATTTTTCCACACCCTTTTCTTTTCATCTGTTGCTCTATTTATAGATCATATTTCAAGTAGTCTCTTAGGAGCAGTTAACGAAACTTCTACCACGTTCTTCGTGCATGTTGCGGTTTCTTTTCCTGTGGTGTTAAAACCGCACCCACGTTCCCATGATCTTCGCCCTCTGCCATGGTTAAAAAACTACTTCCTATTTGCGTGTTTAACTATTCTTCTCTTTATGATTTGGCCAAGGTTTCGATGTCCTCGTAAGTTAATCTTCCCCTCAATTTCGATTTTAAGATCTCAAGAACTTTGAATTGCTTTTGATTCCTTTTAACCTTAACGTCATATACTTCTAATTTCTTGGTTTTTATTCGACAATAGACATTTAACTATTATTCCTTCGATTCTTGATTCTACCTCTCGGTTTTATGTGCCACGCACTTCTAATTGAACATCGAATGGTTTCCCATCCATCTTTTCGATTTATCAATAAATCACATGTTTCTCGATTTTTCTTTCCTTCGTTTTTCGATCACTTTTCTCGATTTTCCACTAACAGGTAATCACTATTGATCCATCTAGCATAATGAGATTTCCCATATCAGATGCAAATATTATTATTGATAATCCTGTCCTTTTAAAAGTAATCGAGTTGTCTATAATGTTCATGTTCCAAGTAGTTCCTGGAAAGAAGGCAGTAATGCTTACAGAAAAGGGATTTGGAATATTTGGTGTCTCTATATACTTAAGTTGGTATTTCAATAAAACATGCACAAAAGATCACAATAGGGAATAAGAATATTTATCATTTCCAATAATACAATCTTATATATATATATATATATATATATATATATATATATATATATATATATATATGTTTCAACTTCCTCAACACATTCTATTTTATGAAGATTTAAATTAAATTTATAGTGACTAGTCAGGATAAATGAGCCTACTTTTAATCGAGTGATATTTGCTCATTTAAATCCCCAAGGTCCAACCTCCATCTACAATATCATCAAATGTTCATAAATAGATATTATTATAATTAAATAATATAACTATAAATTAATAAATATGATCACTGCATTACTCGAGATAATTTAAATAGGATCAGTACATAACTGGAGATAATTTAAATAGGATCAGTGCAAGACTGAAGATAAAGTAAAATAAACAAACAAGACTAGTACATAACTGAAGATAATTAAAATAGGACCAGTGCAAGACTGGGGATAAAGAAAAATAAACAAACAGGATCAGTACATAACTGGAGATAATTAAAATAAGATTAGTGCAAGACTGGAGATAAAATAAATAAGCATAAGGCAGGACCATTACGTAGTTAGAGATATACAAACAAGTAATTAAATAAATAGAATGAGGTTAGGGACATCTCACTTCACAACTATAATAAAAAAAAATAGATTTAATGATAATATTCTCCTCCCCTACCTTAAGAACTACAGATGATGTATAAAAATTTTACAGAGGTGACTTATCTTCCTCTCCTTATCTTCCTCTCCCTTTCTTTCTTTCACCCTTTCTCTCCCTCTCTCTTTTTCTTTCTCTCTCTCCTTCCTCTCCCTCTCTTCTTTCTTTCTTTCCCTCTCGTTTTTTTTCTTCTTCTTCCTTTCTCCCTCCCGTAACCTTATTTATATAAATAAATAATAATAATAATAATTATTATTATTATTTTTACTTGCATTTAATGCAAGAGATAAGATAAGATTTTAATAATTATCTCTTAAAGAGATAATGACATGTTTATCTTCTAAAATATTAAAATTTACATTAATTTGATATGTTACATTTCTCCTATACTTATAGAAATTTTGTCCTCGAAATTTTTAGCGACTAAAACAAATGAGGGTAATTTTCTTTGATTCTCTTTTCTAATTCCCACGTAACATCCCCAGTACTCTTATTCCAAACAACATTTACTAATGAAATTTGTCTTCTCCTCAGTTGTTTGATCTTCATATCTGTAATCTGTACAGACATTGTTTCAAATGTAAGGTTATCCTTTAATTGTATTGTATCTGACATTATTACATGAGAAGGGTCAGAAATATATTTTCTTAATTGAGACACATGAAACACATTATGAAGATTAGAAAGGAAAGGGGGTAAGGAAATTTGGTAAGCAATAGAACCTATTTTTCTAATATTTTTATAGGGACCAATAAATCGAGGAGTGAGTTTCTTCGCTTTTATTATTCTACCAACTCCAGTTGTCGGTGTTACTTTCAAAAATACGTGCTCACCTTCTTGGAATTCAAGGGATCGTCTTCTTTTGTCAGCATAAATTTTCTGTCAACTTTGAGTTGTTCTTAATTTTTCCCTAATCATCTTAATTTTTTCCATGGTTTGTTAAATCATGTCAGGACCTAAGATTAAATTTTCTCCAGTCTCAAACCAACATAAAAGTGTCCTACATTTTCTCCCATACAATGCCGCATAGGGCGACATACCTATGCTAGAATGAAAACTGTTATTGTAAGTAAATTCAATTAATGATAAGTATCAGTCTCAACCACCAGAATTTTCTAACACACAAACTCTCAACAAATCTTCCAAGGATTGGATGGTTCTTTCTGATTGTCCATTAGTTTGAGGATGATAAGTTGAGCTAAGATGAAACTTAGTCCCTAAGGCTTGATGTAGGCTTCCTTAGAATTTAGAAGTAAACCTAGGATCCCTATCAGAAATAATACTAGATGGAACTCCATGTAACCTCACAATTTCTTTTATGTATAATTCTGTTAGTTTCTCCAATGAATACCTAATGTTAATAGGTAGAAAATGAGCAGACTTTGTCAACCTATCCACGATAACCCATATGAAATCAAATTTTTGAATTGTTCGTGATAAGCCAACTATAAAGTCCATTACAATACTATCTCATTTCCACTCAGGTATGTCTAAAGATTGTAGCATTCCTGCAGGTCTTTGATTCTATCTTAGCTTTTTGACAAACTAAGCATGATGCGTGTTACTTGCTTCTTCATTTTAGGCCACCAAAATATTTTTTGAAGATTTTGATATATTTTTGTTATGCTTGGATATATGCTTAATTTACTCTTATGTGTTTCGTCTAAAATCAGCTTCCTAATCTCTAATTATTAGGCACACATATCCTACCACTAAATATCAAAATTCCTGTTTTATCTATGTCAAAAATTTTCTCCATTCTTTTGTCCTATCAACTTCTTTTTCTTTTGAATAAATTCATTATGGATGACATATTATGAAGAAGGAGAAGGTGTATCAAATGATGATTATACATGTGTAATGCTTATAACTGAAACTGATCCAAGGATATTTGAAGAGGTTGTCAAGAGCAAGAAATGGCGTGATGCAATGGTGAAAGAGATGGAGGCAATAGAGAAAAATCAAATGTGGGAATTAATTGATGTGTCAAAAGGGATGAAACCGATTGGAGGAAAATGCGTATTCAAGACCAAACTCAAAGAGAATAGAGAAATTGACAAGTTTAAAGCAATGTTAGTAGCAAAAGGTTATGCACAATACTATAGGGTGGACTACTCAAAGGTATTTGCACTGGTTGCTAAGTTGAATACCATTTGCATAATACTTTCAATGGCTACACAAAATTTCTCGATCATATTTCAGTTGGACGTGAAAAACGCATTTTTCCATGGAGAGCTCAAAGAGGAGATCTATGTGTAGCAGACCGCTAGATTCATAAAGAAGGGAAAAGAAGAGAAAGTGTACAAGTTGAGAAAGACACTATACAGACTCAAAATAAGCACCAAGTGTGTGGTACAACAGAAAAGAGAGATGTTTCTCACAAAATGATTTTGAAAAATGTTTATGTGAACATACATTATTTACTAATCAGGAGAGGGAGTTAAAATTTTAATTGTGAGTGTACATATGGATGATTTAATTATACTGGGAGAGAATGTGCACTACAAGAAAATCGCGTATTACCGACGGATATTTACCGACGGAATTGTAGCCGTCGGAAAATAATCATTACCGACGGAAATTACCGACGGATATAAAATATTTGTGAAATTTGATGTTACCGACGGATATATCCGTCGGTAAAATAATAATTAGTTACCGACGGATATATCCGTCGATAAATCCGTCGATAATTTATAGATGAATTTACCGACGGATATATCCGTTCGAGTAACTCGTCGATAAATTAACAAGTAATTATCGACGGATATATCCGTCGGTAAATTCATATGTAAATTAAAAATTATTTACCGACGGATTATCCGTCGGTAAAATTATATAATATAATTTAATTATTCACTAATTAAAAAATAAAATATTTTTTATTTAATAATTTAATTTAATCATAATTAGATTAATTTATAATAATTTATTAAATTAAGTAATTTTAAAAATAAATATTTAATTATATATATAAAATATATATATATATATATATAAATATATAAAAATATAAAAATATATAATATAAAAATATATAAATATATATAAATATATATAAATGTATTTGTATATTTGTATATAAATATAATTTATTTGTAAATTGTTATCAAGAAATTCTAGTAGTTTAGTGGTTGGAGTATCGACTCTCGACTCTAAGATCTGGTTCGAATCCTGCCAATGACATTTCTCTTAATCAATAATTCAAAGTTATAAAAATATAATATGGAGAAATAATTGAAATAATTAATAATAAATAATAAGAATATAAGGGGGAGGGGTTCTATAAAAAAAATAATGTTATAAATAAGTAAAATATTTAATAATTAATAAAATTATTACCGACGGATCCGGATCCGTCGGTAATTTCATAACATATTTACCGACGGATAAATCTGTCGGTAATATTTACCGACAAGCGAATTTCCGACGGATTTTTGGCCGTCGGAATTCCGTCGGTAATATTCATTTACCGACGGATTTTTGTTATTACCGACGGATTTTGACCGTCGGTAATTTTAATATTTCTTGTAGTGGTGTGATGATTTTAAAAATTCCATGATGTCGAAATTTGACATGATTGATCTAGGAAAGATGGAGTATTTTCTGAGTTGAAATTTTACATAGTACAGGTAGAGTTTTCATGTGTAAAAGGAAGTATCCTCAAGATGTTTTATCTCGGCTTGACATGATGAACTACAATGCAGTCAAGAACCCGATTGTTCCAAGAACAAAAATTGTCCAAAAGTGATGCAGGGACTAAAGTGGATACTACTTTATTCAAGTAAGTAATTGGCAACTTTATGTACTTGACTGCAATCCGACCAAACTTGATATATGGAGTCGATTTATTCAATAGATTTATGGTCAATCCTACATAAACTCATTGATTTACAGTCAAACAAATTCTAAGATACTTAAATGGAACTATAGGACTTGAAATTTTCTACAAGAAAAAAGAAAATACAACCTTAGTGGCTTATACAAATAGTGACTTTGCTATAAATATAGATGATAGGAATAATATGTTTGAATTTGTGTTAACTTATAATAAGATTATTTACAACAGAATTAGAATATCATGTGCATGTCATTATATCTAGATTAAAATAATATTAAAAATTATCGATTTTAAATATCAGAGACATATTCTAATTTTATGTGATAGTAGTTCATGCATTAAGTTATCTAATAATCCAGTGTTTTACAGAAGGAATAAACATATTAATATAATATTAATGTTAGATTTTATTTTCCAAGAGATCTTGTCAAAGAAAAAAATGATCTAGTTGAGTTACTGCAGTTACTAATATAATGACTAAGCAACTTAAATTGGAATAATATGTGAAGTTCAAAAGTATATTGGGCATGATTAAAGCATTAGAAGTAAACTAAAATGTTTGTTTAACTCAAGGAGGGATTGTTAGTTGTTAATTTATGTTGTTTTAGTTTCTGAATTAATTAGTTTCAGGATTAAATAAAATTAGATCGGTTATTGACCTGTTCATTAGGAGGGAGAGAGAGAGCTAAGATTTAGCTCTTCATGCATTTAGGTAACAAACCACCCATGTTTTCTGCATAGAGGTGGACCCTTTTTAAGTTTTTGTAATTTTCCTACATTCAAACCCCAAAACCTTCATCCGCTCTGGCCACCTCATCCTCACCGTAAACCACCATAAACACCTTCCAGCTCTCACCCCGCGACCTTCCAGCCTTGAGTTGCTCACCACACCTCCACCAAACCCCAAAGCCATAGCCTAATCGCATTGCACAACGTCCTTTCTGTCCAACACCCTTTACCAGTCGAGCTTCCACCATGGCTAGCCAACCACCCCTACCAAATCACCACCTCAAATAACCTTACCGCAGCCGCAACCTCCCTCCGCTCCAATCCGCTGCTCGCGAGCCACCGCAAGCCCGACCCTACCCACTGGGTTGGTCGTCGCGAGCCAACCTTTTACCCTTATCAAACCACAATTTTCGTCCTCACTCACTCTCCTTATCGCACTCTAAAACCTCACCAGCGCGCAACCAAACTGTGTTGGGAACCCTAGCGCCACCGTGACGCCCAACCCACCTTCACTACAAGCCACATCTCACGCCTTCTTCGTTGGAGTCACCGCAACCCACACCGTGAAACCCCCATCTTTCCTCTCTATCAATAATTTTATTAATATATTTTATATATATTTAGTATATTTCTTTAATTAATTATTAATATTTAATATAGTTTTAAAAAAATAATCTCTGAAGGTAATTTATTATTTAAACGGTACATTTTGACTTATGTTAGATCGATAAATTAAAAAAATTATAAAATTTTTAATATAATCTGCCCATAATCAATTTAATAAGAATATATTTAGCGAAATCAATCCATAGAGTTTATTCTTAAAATAAAAAATCAACCATTTACTAAGTGAACATACAAATCGCTAAGCAAATGTAACTAACATAATAATAATTCTGTTAAGTGTATTAAGGAACGCAAATTTATTGTAAAATTTTATTTTGCAGGGAAATTATTTGAATTTTATTATGTAATTACAAGTTTTGAATGATCCTTCCCGGATTGGTGTTGTATAAATAAACTAAGTCACAAGTTAGTTTCATTTTTTAAATTCCTAATTTTTAGATCTTAAATTCTTTTTAGCTTTTTTTTTCTTTTCAAGATGCTTAATTTCCAAATTTTTCGTAAATTTTTTTATAAAAATAATTCTTTAAAAAATATCAGTTCAAGTTACATTTGATCAAATTTGTTTCAATCTTTAAATCTTAGCTTTAATTTTCGTTTTCATCTTTTTCCACTTTCACATAATTTTCTTTACTGTATTTATGTTTGTCAGGTTTTACACGTTCTAAATGAGATAGAAATAAGTTAGATGGAAAATAAAAATGTATAATAATAACTCCAACATAGTTTCCACAAGAACACTGTCACACGATCTTTAAATTGGACACTTTCTTGTGTTTGTTTTGCTCTCACCAATTTCCTCACTCTTTCACAACTCTGGCAGCACTAAATGGTAATTACTTCTATGGCAGCATTTAGCTGCTTTAAAATGCTTATAGAGCATAATTTATTTTAAACGATATATGTACTAAAATATTTCGGCAAGAACTATGTCACTTGATTTAGTATTAATATCCACGACTTCTGTCTTCCCTTTCATCTTACCTTACAATTTCTTTGGCCTTCCACTGTAATACTGAGAAAGTGTTGACTTGCAGTGATGGAGAAGATCCAGCACAGTGAGGTGGAAGTGAAGGGACTGAGGCTGCACGTGGCAGAGATTGGAACTGGTAATTCCTTCAACACCCTCTTGGAATACTTTCTAATAGTTATTATATGCATCTACTTCTCTTCTTAATGATCTTTTTGTTTGTGAAGGCTCCAAGGCAGTGGTATTCTTACATGGATTCCCAGAGATCTGGTACACATGGAGGCACCAGATGATTGCTGTGGCAAACGCTGGTTATAGGGGTGTTGCCTTTGATTTCAGAGGCTATGGACTCTCTGAGCAACCAGTGGAGCCAGAAAGGGAAACCATGTTTGATTTGGTTCATGAAATTGTGGGTCTTTTGGATGCTTTAAACATCGCCAAGGTAATAAGCTGAATATGTTACATTACCTTTCATGACTCTACAAAGGTTTCTAGAGTGCAGAAGTATAAGTGCATCAATTCTAGAATGAGGCCCTCTTCGGTTTAGATATTCTATATGCAGCTCTAATATGTAACTTAATTGAAGAAAATATTTGAGGATAATCTAATTCTTCATCAGTGAGAATTAAAATTATTTTAAAAACTTTGAAATTCTTTTGTAAAATATGTTATGTTAGCATGAATAAGGCTGGGAAGTATAATTTCTCTACCTGCGTTCATACTTGCAAATTTTGTAAATAAACTTACACTCAGACCAAAAAATTCATTTGATAATAATTTTGATAGATAGCAATCGAGTTTGAGTCTAATATTCATCCCTAATTGCATATGCAATTTCGTTGTTTATACCAGGCTTTTCTAGTTGGGAAGGACTTTGGTGCCATCCCAGGATATCTTACAACTGCAGTGCATCCAGAAAGAGTTGCTGGTATCATAACTTTAGGCATTCCTTTCATGCTTCCAGGTCCCTCTGCAGTGCAGAGCCACCTTCTGCTCCCCAAAGGGTTTTATATTACTAGGTGGCGGGTACAAACTCCATCTTGCGTCATAGTTTTTATATAGTTTAATTAGTCTTTTGGTTCTATATTTAGAAACTGCTCATCATAAACTATTCAAATACACTTTTGTATAGGGATTGTAAAGGTGTAAAGTCCAATCTTTTTATATTCATTGGAATGTTTAGAACCAATTATTCATTGATTACAATTCAATTTACAGGAGCCTGGGAGGGCAGAAGCAGATTTTGGGCGCTTTCCTGTGAAATCCGTGATAAGGAACATCTACACTCTCTTCTCTAGAAGTGAGGTTCCAATAGCAGCTGAGGATCAAGAAATCATGGACTTGTTCAACCCATCTACTCCTCTACCACCATGGTTCTCTGAGGAAGACCTTGCAACCTATGCATCTTTATATGAAAAATCTGGATTCAGATATGCATTGCAGGTTCCGTACAGGTAAACCGAACTCATTTCTGCCTTTTAAATTGAAAAGCTACTCAAAAGTTTTTATTTTCCCTCAACTAAGGTTATTTCTGGCTAACATCAATTTAACCAGTTAGTTTGATTCCTAAATCCAAATATTATAAAATTGTAAATTTAGTGTCTGATCTTAATAACCTTCAAATTCAATTAATTTGATCCCTAAAATTAACATCATCGGTTGGTTTGGTCCATAATATCATCAAAGCAATCAATTAAACCACTATATTAATTACCAAGTTAACTTACATCAAAGTTTGAAGCAAATTGATTGATAAAAGACTAATAGATAGAATCAAGGACTAGTTGTTTTTTCACAATGTGAAAGACTAAATTAACTAATATTTGTCAATGATTAAATTTTCTATTTGGAAGATGTCAAAAGACAAATATGATGTATGAAGTTTTAGTTTTTTGTGAAATCTGGCATTGTCGTGACTCCTTGAAATAAAATGAAATGCTATAAATAGTAGAGATTTCTTTTAAAATTACATTCGGAGTGTTCATGATGCATTCAGGAGTATCGATGTGGATGCTGGCTTAAGTGATGTAAAAGTTACTATTCCATCACTTCTGATTGTGGGTGAGAAAGATTATGTGCTCAAGTTTCCAGGCATGGAGGACTATATTCGAAGTGGGGCAGTGAAAAACTTTGTGCCTGACTTGGAAATAGTATATATTCCAGAAGGAAGCCATTTTGTGCCAGAGCAAATTCCAGAGAAGGTGAATCAGCTTATCATTGAGTTCCTTGATAAACAAAGTATCTGATTCTATTCTACGGCTGAAAGCATGTCTCTTCTTTGTGTAATACACAACTCCACAAACGTTGTAATACACAGCTCTGAAAGTCCCAGTTCATGAAGGGGTACATTCTGTAAGTCTAAAACTTCATATCAAATAAAAGTTGAAACTATGTTAGTGAGAAGAAAAAAGATGCACACGACTGGTTTCGTCTGATATCAATTGTCAAATAACTGCGATAACTCCTTAGATATTTGAACACTGCTACAAAATCAAAGTTAGTAGTGTATATCCATCAATTTTATTTTATTTTTTTGTTGAAAATTGACGAAGTGAAACATAATATTATATTTTTTACTTGATTTCACTAAATGAGACCTACTTTTTCAGTCACTTTAGAATTTCTTGGAGAAAAAAAAAAGTAGGAAGATAGTTGAATTAAACTTTGTGGTATGTGTAAGAATTGTATCCGTAGATGTTAACTAATCAACGGTTTTGTCTATACATAAAGATAAGATCACTTTTCATCTAATTAGAGTAATTCATTTTACAATAGCTATCAACAATTACCTATTTTCAGCAACAACAATGAGTCACCCTTTGGAGCAAAAACCGATGTCAGAGTGGAACAGTAGAAGATTGGTTTGACTAGTTCTTCTTTTCTATGACACTTGGTTAGGCCTACTTCCTTACAGGAAAATATTATGTGCGACAAAGTTTAAGAACTTTGAAGTTTTGCTGATACATAATGAAGTTAGATAGAAAAAAAAAATCAATTTGTAACTTTTTGGTGCAAGAAAAATGTCGATCGAGTGATACATGCTTTTATTATATTCATATTATACAGTGAACTGGAACTCAAAAGAATGCGTTGATATATTTATCAAGCAACTCAGAACAAAGTACATTATAGGCCTCTTCCGTAGGATGGAAACTGTCCCAAAATATGTAGTTTGACCTGTTTGAACATAGGTTCAGGGTAAAACGGTTACACAAAAAACTTACTTCAAGCTCTCCTGTGCCACAACATCCTTTGTTTGTTACTTCAAAACCTAAATCACCGAAATACCATGACAATGAGCAATAAGTTAGACAGAGGAAAACGTACTGATACAGTTTTAGGCAAAGGAAAACAAGTAAAGAAGGTAAATGAAAATCCTGCTCCATTTTTTCTTTACGGATATTTTTATGTCAGAACACCTACTACCTTAAGTGGTTGTTTACTCAATTTTTGTTTATATGATAGGTCTCTAAATGTGATGTCAACTTTATATTATGTGTTGAGTCATTGGCATCAAACAATTGGTATAGGTAGGCTAAATGTTCAGAAAGGTATACTTATAAGCTAGCTACTTGTATATAGTGTGGTAGATGTGTTTGATTACCATATTTAGTAGGATTTTGAACCATATCCATTAATGGATTGTAAATGTCAAGGTAGACAAGCCTAGCATCTGGAAAAAGTTTCTTAAGGGCATCTATTTGGGATGATAGCTTGTTGTTGAAGAGCATTGCAGCCTGGTTTTCAGAATCTGAACATGCTCTGTGTATGCCTCCTTCTAATGTTCTTTGAGAGGGCACACACCCTAAATTTGGCAGACCAATTATTCCAATCCTTCTAGCTCCAAGTCCATAAAGTTCCTACATTCAATTCATTTTCATTAATATTCTTTTATGTAAAAACATTTTGCAAAGATTAATACAAGTTTAAACTAAATTACTCATTTGGGCATGTAGTTCATACATACTTGTAAGAAGTTTGTTGCCTGTGAAACCATTAAATCTGTATATGTTGAAATGTTATACTCTAGTCGTCTAATTGGTAATAAATTGAAAGTATTGGCAATGTCATTGCTTCCTGTGCACAAGATGTATATGCTTTTTGCTATTATTGTTGTTGTGTTTTCTCCAACCATTTCCTGGATCTTGTTTTTGTATTCCCTGAATTTGTCTAGTTGGTCTGATAATGACAGCACTGACTGATATAGCGTATGACAAAGAAAGCAAATTATAGTTAGTGTTGAGATATACTGAGAATGAAACTATATTGTAAGGTTGTAGCTAGGATAAATTATTTACTGCTATTTTAGAAGTTAGAGGATCATATCCACTACCACCAGATGCAAAGCTTACACCTGTGAGGAGATCTTCACGTTGCAAATTTGGATCAAGATAAGGTGGCAGAAGCTTCTTGACTCCAAGTTTTGCAGCTGAAAAAGACCAAAGAAAATTTGTTAAGGAAATTAAGTAGAACATTCTCCTTCTATTATGCATATAATGATAATAGAATTCAATACTGAGGATTTTTGTTTGTACCAATTATGTCTGATGGGATTAAACCATTACTGAACCTCCCCGTTGGTTGATTTCCTCCACCAAAATCTTTACCATATGGTTCGAAATTACATTTGCCTATGGTTTGAATGTAGTTATTGTTACCTGTATCTACTATGGAGTCCCCAAACACAATCAGTGCTGGAACACTTCTATTGTTTGGTAAACTCAGAACAGGGACAGAAGATATAATAATTATGGAAAAAGACCAAAGAATGACTAGAAACAATTGAGAACAAGACATTTCAAAGAAAAATTTCAAGTTTCTATGTTCCATATTGTAAGTAACTACTATTCATTTGATTATTTATAATAAATAATCATTAGATCCAAAAGATAAAAAAATATATTATATTAATTAACATAATAGTTTTCCAAATTGTTTAACTTGAGTATAAATTATATTTAATAATTTTAATGTTTTTTAACAAAATTGATCGGTATTGATATTATTTCATTTTAAATAAATTATATGTTTAGTAAAATATATCAGAAAATAAAACCTTTTAAAAATGTGATCATTTTATTTAATTTTATCATATTTTTTTAACAAATATAAACATTTAATATTTTATTTCTAAAGTGTACAACTAAAATATTTTTTATTAAAAATATTACTTGAAATATACATTTAAAAAATATTTTTTTGTTGTTTTAAAAAATAGCTTATAAAAACTTATTGTAAATAAAATAAATATGAATATAGTATTATTAAATTGATACATATATAAATATATAATAACAAGTTATTTTTATACATACTATTGTATATAATATAATCTATTGATATATTTATTAAATATTATGCATTTATCAATAATTAATATATATATATATATATAAAAATTATAATGCACAGGAACAATAATAAATATATTAATATAATGTTAATAAATTAATAAATATATACATTTACACAATAGTATATCCCTTAATATTGCTCGTAATATATTAATTATAATATTTACAAAATGTACATATACACAACAACAAGTATATTAATAAATCAATAAATATAAATGTACATAATAGGTTATCTCTTAGCTTTCATATTTCATGCTTTTTTATATTTAATATTAGCTATAATGTATTAATTATAATATTTATTGAATAAAATAAGTTTATGAATAAGTAAAACAAGGTAAACTTTACTTTTTTTCATGCAATAATTTAAATAATACATATACTAAATGTATACACACAGTAATAAATATATTAATAAATAAATGTACCTAATAGTTTATCCCTTATTTTTTATATTTAATAGTTTACATCATATTCCAATTTTAACTTTAAAAAATAAAATCAACATAAAATATTATTTCTTCTTTTTATTTTACATAGAAACTTATTATTATTATTATTGAAATTTTAATTTATGAACGATACACAAATTTCGTCTAAATTTTAAAATAGCTGATATTGTTCTTGATCCAATAAACTTGTAAATACATGATAATTCTCAAAACTCAAATTAGATAATCTCAAAAAAAAAATCATTATACATTGAATCTACTTTTAATAAAACAAAAATATATCACTCAATGTTAGAATAAACAAAGAAAATTCTATTAGTTTTTCTTATTACTTTTTTAGCTCACACAACAATTTTTTTAATAGATTATATTTTAATTTGAGGTAGCCTAACATTGTTAGGGTTGTGTCAATCATAGTTTTATCTACTTTGAAATTTAATCACAATTGCATTTTGTTCATACTAAAAGATGTCTTTGTTAAGGAAAGAAGATACTTATAATGTACCTTTATCCTACACCCTTATTTAAGCATCACATGTATGAACCCTAAATTTGATTATCAGTTGTATGTTTTGTATTGGTGAAAGTCTTATAATTTTATATGTAATAATTTAAAAAATGTAACTATTATACAAGTGAAATCATTAATTTTTCAACTATTTGATCTTAGTCCATTGAAACCACAATCTAATTCTAATTTATGGACAGGATCACAATGAGGAATTCTTTTTTTTTTTTAACCCTGTCAACTTTTAAATTATGGTATACTATTTTGGTGTACAAGAGAAAATTATTTTTTTATACACTCTAAAAATTAGTTTTCATAATATATTAAATGAAAAAATTGTGTTATAGTTCTTATACTTTATATAAAACTTTATTTTGTTTCTTATTTTTAAACTAAAGAACATGTTTATATTTTATTTTTAATAATTAAAATTTTAAATTATAAAATTAGATGAGAGAAATTTACAATATATTTTTAGTTTACAGTCTAAAGTTTCTTTTGAAAAAAAAATCAAAATTATATTTAACCAAAATATAAAGATAGAAAAAATACATTTGTTTTCTATGTCAAAAACATGATTGCTTTCAAAACACTAAATTCTACAATGTAACTTATGAAACAAGGTTTTGTAATATTTTTTAAATGTAAAAAAAAGTCGAATAGTACAAAAAGAAAAAAAAAAAAAAGAGAGACGCAAATAAAATCGCCATTAAAAGTATCCTATTCATCTTATGATCGTATACTGCTAAATATTCTCAAATTCCCAAAATATGTTGCAGAATACAAACAAAATGCATAGGCAGGTGTAACATTGTTGGTGTTTGAGTGCAGGAAATTAATATTGAATAAAATATTAATTTTAAAGTATGATAAGTCTATCTAGTTCTTCCTACAGACGGAAAATTACGTTTATGGCAGCATTTTAGCTGCTTTCTAAACAATATAATGTTATTAATATAATTTGTACTGAAAAATATAGTCAACATTTGATATTGAAATTGATATTCACAACTTTTCTCTTCCCTTTGATCTTACCCTTAACATTTCTTTGGCCTTCCACTGTATTTCTCAGAGTATTGACTTGCAGTAAGCCCCTCCTTTTACGATGGAGAAGATCCAGCACAGTGAGGTGGAAGTGAAGGGACTGAAGCTGCATGTGGCAGAGATTGGAACTGGTAATTCTTTCAGAACCCTCTTGGAATACTGCCTAATAGTCATTTGCATCTACTTCATATTAATGATTTTTTTTTTGTTTTGAAGGCTCCAAGGCAGTAGTATTCTTACATGGATTCCCAGAGATCTGGTACACATGGAGGCACCAGATGATTGCTGTGTCAAACGCTGGTTACAGGGCTATTGCCTTTGATTTCAGAGGCTATGGACTCTCTGAGCAACCAGCGGATCCAGAAAAGGAAACCATGTATGACCTAGTTGATGAAATAGTGGGTCTTTTGGATGCCTTACACATCACCAAAGTAAGGACTAGATGATCCACAGTGCACATGTTTTATGAATTTGTCAGTCTTGTTTGTGTGAAATAAACCATTGTTTAATGTCTGGCTAAAATTCCTATATCCAAGTTGTGAACTTCGGTTTAGATCTTCAACATGCAGCCCCATAGTAGACAAGGAAATAGGAAAATAACAGCCCAAACAGAAACTAGAAAATGGTTTGTTTCTTCTGATAACTTGGCATGTTGAAAATAAAAATTAACTTGGTCTTAGGCTGATGATTGAGAGAATAGGAATAAAAGAGCACCTGACTTAGTTGAAAAGGTTAACTATTTTGTTTTTTGGGTAACCAATAGGACTTCTATTTAGCATCAAACCAATCTCCGTCTCACCGTATTGGTCTACTTGGAGTAAAACGTTACCTCCATTTATGACTTCATGTCCCAGAGATTTGAACCAAAGATTAACTAATTGCATGCTCTGTTACAATTGCTTATATCAGGCTTTCCTAGTTGGCAAGGATTTTGGGGCAATCCCTGCATATCTTACAGCAGTTGTGCACCCAGAAAGAGTAGGTGCTGTCATAACTTTAGGCGTTCCTTTCTTGCCTCCTGGTCCCTCTGCTATCCAAAATAACCTTCTCCCCGAAGGCTTCTACATTACTAGGTGGCAGGTACAAACTCCATCTGGTATCATAAATTTTATATTCCTTCCAATTTTAAAAATTAGTTCGTAGTACTGATTAGTTTCAATTTACAGGAGCCTGGGAGGGCAGAAGCAGATTTTGGGCGCTTTCCTGTGAAATCCGTGATAAGGAACATCTACACTCTCTTCTCTAGAAGTGAGGTTCCAATAGCAGCTGAGGATCAAGAAATCATGGACTTGTTCAACCCATCTACTCCTCTACCACCATGGTTCTCTGAGGAAGACCTTGCAACTTATGCATCTTTATATGAAAAATCTGGATTCAGATATGCATTGCAGGTTCCTTACAGGTAAACAGAACAGATTCCCATTTTCCTTCTTTCAAAACTGAAAAGGTAGAATTCATTATTATGAAGTGAAACTGAAATGCTACTCCAAATAATCTTTTATCAACCAACATTATTTCTTCAAGACCTTGCATTTTCCTAGTCACTTTAAAACATAAAATGTTATTTATGAATAACAAATTTCAATAACATCGCATTTGAACTATTTTATGCAGGAGTCTGAAAGTGGACACTGGCTTAAGTGACGTGACGGTTACAAAACCAGCACTTCTGATCATGGGTGAGAAAGATTATGTTTTCAAGTTTCCAGGCATGGAGGACTATATTCGAAGCGGAACAGTGAAAAACTTTGTGCCTGAATTAGAAATCACTTATATTCCAGAAGGAAGCCATTTTGTGCATGAACAAATTCCAGACAAGGTGAACCAGCTCATCATTGAGTTCATCGACAAACAAAGTATCTGATTCTGTTCTGCGGCTAAAGGCATGTTTCCATTTAAATTTGTGTAGTTTCTAGTTTGCTTAATCCAACGCACTCTGTAATAGCTGACTCTGATACCTCCAGTTCGTGAAGGGGATATATGTTGTAATAAAATCTGGAACTTCATATCAAATAAAATCTGCAATTTGCGATGGTTGATGTTATAATGAGATAATGAAGAACTTACAATCATTTATCAGTTTTAGCCCAGCCTAAACTTATAAACGTCTGGAAATCCTTGAGTGAACTTGCAAAACCTTATAAGTACCACCTAAGACTGAATATGAAAAATTTCAAAATTAAAAGAAAACAACACAATTATCGTATCCGTTACTGTTATTGAGTACGATGATACTCATCTAAAACAGACAAATTCTGCTATACAATTATCAACAAAATTAGAAATTTAAATGCCACTCTATTACCTTCCTTCTAGCACTCTACATATATTATTAACTAAAATTTATCAGAAATTGTAAAGTCATGAATGGACACTCATTGCTATACAATTGTGATTTTTACTAAATTTTAAGGAAGAATAAAAAATCTGTCAAAGAAATATGTTATTAGCGCGAAAAGAACATCCATTTCTTAACTACATAAAAATGAAAAATGTTCTTTCACTGCATTATAACCTAACAACGACTCTTATATTCAGATTGCAGTGTTGCTAATATAATTGCTACTCGACCCCTTCATCTTTCTACATAAGTTTATCTAGAAGAAGGGACAAATGCTAATCAACAGTGGGAGTAACTTACAGAACATTACAATTAATCAGAACAGAAAGAAATTAGTGAATCATATCAAAAATCAGTTACGAAGTACAAAACAAAATGAAACAAAGGGGCATATGGTTCAATGTTCAAACGAACACAAGAATTCCACATCATGCGTTGATCACAGAAAGACCACAAATCAGAACAACTGCATAGACAGCGCAATCCATGAACACAGCATCCGCCACAGTCTGCGCCACCAAACACAACTCTAACGTCCTGGCAAGTTGCGAATATTCACCTTCACTATCACCAGAAGAACCTCTTCTTCCAAAACCCCTCTGCTCGCCGAAAAAGAGTCTCGCAATCACAACCGTTACATTGGTCACGAGAACAAGGTAGAGTGGCCTAAAGCTGATCACAGCTGTGAAAAAATTTGTACCCAGAAAAGACAAAAGCACCAGAAGCGCCACGAGAATGGAACAACAGAGACGGATAAACCTCGAGGAATTGATGGCACGAGTTACGTCACTCGGGGTGACGAAACGCTTCGGTTCTTCGGTGTACGGTGAAGGTGGTGGTGGTAGTGGTGGTTGTAACTGGACTTGTTCAGGTTGGTGTTCAGAACTTGGGAGAGTTGAAATGTCTCTTTCAGCGTCGTCATTAGGGGGTGTTTGAATTGCGGTTTTGGCGTCGTTGTAGGGTTGGGGATTGTGCGAAGTGGAATCGGAGTGGTGAACTGAAAGCAAAGAAGGTAGATTAGAATTGGAGTTTGGGATTATTCTAAGCGGTATCAGAAAAGAGAAATTGGAATTGAAGGAGAAAAGCGAAGGTACGTACCAGAAGCAGGAAGGGTAGTGTTTGGATGGTGCAGTTGCGGAGATGAAGCGGCGGAATCGGGAAGCGTGGGAGGGAGTGTTTGGATCCGACCCGTTATGAAGGCGAGACGGTCGGATCCTTGGTCGAGGATTCTTCTTCGCCGTCGAGCGTCTCTGTTCTTCGCCACTTCTGCCATTCTTCTTTATTTCTCAAAATTCTCTTTCTTTCCTCTCACTGTCTCTTACGTTTCTATTCTTTGACTACCAGGCTACGCAATTCTTTCCCCTCGTCTTCAATCTCAAAATTTTTTCAGAAAATCAGTAAAATAATTATTTTTATGTTAATTAAGAAAAATAATTAACATCATCTAATTCTACTTATCTCAATTTATAGAAGAAATTACAAAATATCCTCATTAAAACGGTATGCAATTATAAGAGGAAAAAATACAAAGAGGAATTTCAGTGAAAAAAAAATTAAAAAAATTGAACTTTTTTACTTTTGTCATGAATGTTGAGATTTCACACTCTATGAAACATCTTTGGTAAATTTCTAATTCCTAACATTTCCTGTAACACCATCCGGAGTGGCAATTCTTTAATCATTTATAAAAATTAATGGAAGATGAATCCATGGTTTCACCTTAATATTACTTTTCTTTTTAATTTTTAATATCCTCTTGACGAGTTTTTATATTTATTCTCATATACTAAGTTCAGTATTTTAATTATGACGTTTTTTTTTCCTGTTATCACTCTCAATTAGTTTTAAAATATATTATTTATCGAATTAATTTAAAAATGTGAATACAGTAAATTATTATTATTATTTTTTATTCATATAACTACCCTTATTATGGTTAATATTCTATACTTTCTCACTCGTAAATTTGGAATATTTTAATCTAAAATTAATTAATAAAAAAATTATGAATTGAACTTTATAAAAAAGTTTAATAGTACTTCATAAACAAGAATCTAGTAATATTATTTTTCTGCTTTTAGTCATTTAATACTTATTTCATACCACATTCTAACAATTATGTTTATTTATCAAGTGATAACCCTCATGTATATAACTTGCTCGATAGAAAAAATAATATTATTTATTTTTATTCTAACTGATAAATATAGGAACTTTAATTAATACTAATAACTTATTGAATTAAGTCGGACTGAATTTAAATAATATTGATTTATTAAATTAATTTGTCTCGAAATGACTTAATTCTCACACTGTAAAAATTGTAATAACAGCTTTTAATTATAAATAAAATTTCCAGCTATTAATTATAAATAAAATTCCCATAATACGCAGTCTCCACACCCTAAAGATTTGACGAGTAATCATGACCGACCACATAAAAAAAAAACAAGACGAGTAATTGGACACTTCAATTTCCAAACCTTTGTTTATTTCCCTGTTGTTTGATATTGGGAAGCGCCAAAAATCTTTGGCTAGGTCTTAGCTTCACATACTGATTGTTGAAGTTGTAACATATGGCTGAGATACAATTCTTGATTCTTAGGAACCTAAGATTATAATTTCACGGAATAACGAGACTCCAAACTTATACCTGTAATTATCTTGTAAAGATTTCTCTTACGAGGAAAAGCATGCAAAAACAAGCATCCAATAAGCAGAAAATATTGAGGACATTACACAGGTCCTTAAGCATAGTTCCCACATAACTCGAAACATTATAAAATGTATACTAACCTTACGAAGGCTGGCTCTCAGTTTATTTTTTCTTCATTTATCTTGATCATGAGATACGGCTATACATTACATAAGATCTCCTTTTCAAACTAGGTAGGTTCTCAGAGTTCATAAGCTGGAAATCTAGACAGGGAAGGATCTATCATATCCAAGAAAAGATAAGACATGCCTCCTAGCCCTTCAAACAGTGAATATGGTCTATCACCTCCATGCATTTCACCTTGAGATATCAGCTTATGAGCTTTGTCGAGCAAAAAGCAAGCAAAAGCCTTGGCCCTGTATAGATGCTTCACATTCCCTGTAAGTTGGTACAGTGACAGAAACACATATGCATTCCCACTTATACCATGGCATATCCCAACTTTCTTAAGCAGACCACGATTCCAAACCACATCTCCTGCTTCCATAGCTGCATCCAAGAATTCTTTATCTCCAAAAACCTGTGGATTTTATTTTTCAAAAAGAAACCCAAGTGGTCCATGATAGCAAAAACATTTAACAAACAAAATTCAATTTGTGTGAAAAATATACCTACATCTGTTTTATGATACACAACAGTCATGCATTCTACCCGAGACAGCATATGCATAGCATCCATTGTCCTTATATTGGAAAATGATTCCTACTGCCATGCATATGACAATGCTTTACAATGCTGGCATAGACATTACCCAAGTGCTTCTACAATGCTGCCATCTTACATATGCAAGAGGCTCTTTCAAGAAAAAGCATTTAATCAATGCAATAAAAGCTGTTCTTTCAAGGATCACGGAACAATAAAAAGAAAAATAAAATAAATAGCTAAATTTTGCAACTCCCTAAACGATCAAACAGTTCTCATTTTAGAAAACATATGCAATCAAGTGAGTTAAGGTTATCTATCTATAACCTTAGCTGCTTTGACAAGTGTAAGGGCTATCCCTGGAGCTCCATGACACCAGTGCACAAGAACGTCGTTCTTCCTATCATCTTCACTAGCAGGATAGTTTCCGCTCGAAAAGCTATTCTTTATCATGTATTTGAGAGTTCCCTTAACGTCCTCAAGCTCATCTGGCTTCAACTCCATATCCATCAGCACATGCATAATCCCAGCCAATCCATGTGCAGCACCCCAATACTTCTCCCCATACCATTCAAACATTAATGGGCATCTTCCCTTCCTACCCAACGCCCTTCCACTTTTAATGACTTCATCAACAACCGAAGCCTGAAAAAAAAAATGAAAAACATAACAACCACATTGTACTTATTGAGTCCTCTCCCAATTCAGCAAAGTAAAAAATGACGAGAATAGTTGGAGAACAAACCCACTGTATAATTGGAAGGAACTGTCCCCTGACCAAGGTGCTTGCTTAGGAACAAACATGCCCAAAGAAAACCAACTCTCCCATACAACAACTCATCGGGAAGATCTTTTGAAAGTTTAATCTGCACCCCAAATGCCCTAGTTGTTAAGTCTTATTACTGCATCCATCACATATATTCTGATCTCAAACAGCTAATTAATCACCACAATATAACTTCGAAACAAATTAAATAAACGCAATTCTGCATGGTGCGTTTTTTAATTCCCATTGAATAATCTAAAATCACGTTGAAACTATGTTAAGAAAGTGATTCTGGATCTGGAATTACTTTTAACATGTTTTCTGTTATATACCTTCAGTATTTCCATGGAAGGCAATCCTGCTGAAACCTGACAGAACTATTTTCAATGGCAGAGCTGTAGCCTTAAACCTAATAGAACCATTATGGACAGCCACGAATTTTTAAATTCCAAAAGATGTAGAATTGATTTTGAGTTGAAACAATTGTATATTTCATTTTCACATTAAATTCACTCAATCAATTTGACACAGGGACAGTGTAAACAATTATAGATCATTTGCACATTGGATAAAAATAAAACCCTAACATAAACCACTTCACTTCAAAATCAATTTTAGGCTAAATCAATTTCATTCGTAATCAGAATTTAAAAAGGCAATTCAAACACATACTTAAATAGTAATGAAAAGATCACCTTTTGGAACTGAGCCAAGTAGTATCTCAAGGACTCATCATCCCCAGCGTGTTTTGCAGCCACGGCCCCGAGAGAGCACACGCCAGCACGCCCACAAATAAAGGTCACGTCCCTATCACCCATTATTTCAAAGTGTGAACCCTTACACTTAACCACCACGCACGCATATGAAATTAAAATTGAAACAGAGAGAACCTGGAACGAACGGAAGCGGCGTCGCAAGCCTTCACAATCTGAGAGCAAAGAGAAAGATCGTTCCCGTTGCGCGTCACTTCGTAAGACTTCAAGAGCAGAAAAGCGGTGCCCAGAACGCCGCAGTAGAGAGTGAAGTCACCAACGTTTTGCCCGGAAATCCCCCACGTTTCTATCACTATCTGACACCAAACCACACACGTGTGAGAACGGAGAAGTGTGCGTCAAAAACAGGAAAGAGAAGGAATGGAGGGGAGTATTGGTTGAATACGGTTTCTTTGAGGTCCAGAGCAGCCCGTTTGAGACGCTCCGAGAGTGGCGCGTGAGGCATGGCCAGGAGCTTCGGGAGTGAGTCCCCTACTGTGAGGGCTTCCTCTTGCTCCTGCGGAGTAGACGGCGTCGCTTCGGGTACGAATTCGGGCATCGGGTTCTGGAAGAACCGAACCGCCATGGCTTCGGGTCTGAAGAGAAGATTCTAGAAAGCTCCAAATAGAAGAAGAAAAACCAGAAACAAGTGATGAGAAGAACGGTGCTAATGTTCATTTTTAAAAGAGCGACACCGTTTCAGTTGTTAGGTTGCCGATGCTGTGGTTCCTGTAGTCTGACCTGTCGAGCTACTTTGGTTACACCTCATCCACACCTAAGTGTTCGTGGCATGCAGTGAATGTTTATTGGCAAAAAATAAATTAAGATTAAATAAAATTATTTTGTCAAAAGATGGATTATTTTGTCGATTTGGAGTATTTGGATGCATTTTTTTTTTCTAACATCTTGTTTTGCTATTGGAAAAATTCCATGAATTAAAAGGGAAGTGGAACTTAATTAAAATCCAGAACTTTTTCCCTTTCTAATATGCAACTAAAAGAAATGGAATGCGTTGAAACTGCTGAAGTTTCTTGTCCTGAGAGCAGTGGTTTCAAATCAACGTAGTTCTTCATTTGGTTCTTTGAATGAAAAAAAAAAAAAGGCTCGTTACTTTTTAAGTAATACCATTGTCCCTCCATGACTGACTTTTTATGAAGGAATCTTAAGAATATGGATCAAAGAGTACCCTTTGCGCAACTATTTTTCTTTCTATCATTTCCACCACAGGCTTGAACCAATGTTTGATCATGAATCATGAGCAAATATATATACAAGTAAGCTTGTGCTCTTTGACAAGGGATTTCAACAATCATAGTTTACAATTACAGCTTAAAGATAAAAATTCAAGCCTCCCTAAAACTTATCCTATTTCGACCTGTGAATCTACTCCTCCTGGAACTGTTTTCCTTCAAATGTCTGTCCAAACATCCACTTTGCTGGTGCTACATTGTAAGATGTGAGCGTTTTTCCACTACTGATTGTTACCTCAAAGGACAAAGGCTGATTTTGAAAGTTGACATTGCAATGCCAGTTTTGTCCCCAGTTCCTTGCCATTGGAATCCACCCTGTTTTAGACCCCTTCACTTTCACAGCAATCACTTCGCCATACAGACCAACATTGGAGATCAGCACTTGGTAGAAGTGAGAACCCCCACTCATTGTGAATCTCATGCCACCACTTCTTTCGCACTTTACTCTGAAAGAAACTTAACCATTAACATGGTAAACTAAAGGGAAAAATGTGTTTCAAGTCTTACCTTTTTATCAAATACTTTTGTCTAATATTTCGTTCTTTAAACAGTTAACAGAAGAGTTAGGGCGAGGGATGGAATTCTCAAATTATAAAAAATACAAAAACGAAAATCATGTTTTCGAAGTATAGGTAATGACCAATTTGGACTGAAAATAGAGGTCCTGAAACAGATTTTACCCTAAATTTTATCAATCTTCTTCATTGAAACTTTTATATTGGTTACCTTCTATACTGAACCGGCACTATATCAGCTTTGTTCTTGGCAATTTCAGCAAATGCAGCCTGTGACATCTCAAAATGTTCTCTTGGAAAATTGCACCAGCCACCATAATCAACTGAAAGCCCATAATTTGGAGCACAGAAATCTGTAACAGTAACAACTACCGAAGGGCTTCCCATCACACACCACAAGATGTGGTCAACACACCTGATTTCATAGCAGGCCCCGCATGTGCTCCCTCTGTTGAACAACATGGTGCTCAAGCCAGCATTGTGTTTCCTATAACTTGCCTTGTGGAGGTCTCCATAACCACAAGCTCCTTCTGCAACGCATGGTACAACCACATTGTCAAAAACATGATGTTGTTTTCATCCTGAAACTACGTAAGAAGGACCAAGGAGAAAGAGAAGTAGTACCGGTGACAAGAGACCCCTCTGAGTCCTTGGCATAAGTTGCTGTGGCTTTCCTCCACTCTTGGTCCTTGTAAGCAACAATCTTGAAATAGTGCAGTAAAATCAAGTAGAGAAGTGTAGACTGAAGAACACCCATCTGAGAAAATAGAGTTTAGAAACTGATTAATACTTTAAATTGAAATTCTTTTTATGAGTATTTTGTTTTTGTCGTATGTGGGGTTAATAGAGAACTAAACAAACAGGAAAAAGAGGTCCTTTTTCTAACTGCGAATGATGATGATGATCTGATCACCTTGCTAAAGATGGAGATATAGCTTGGGTGAAATATTTAATGCTTTTTTTTTCTTAAAATTGAACATTTTCAAAATATAAATGTAATTTTTTAAAATAAAAATAGTTTTGAATAGACAACTATATTTTAGGTTGAATGACACGAAGTCGAAAAGTATTTTTCTCTTCAGAACAACAAATTATTTATTTTTCATTTTATGTCTTGAAACTCAAAAATAGTATTAAAAATTTTAAAACTACATCTTTAACTACCATTTAAGGTTTTTTCATACGTGGTTTAATAATAACAATAAATATACTTAGCAAAATAATCTTTTTAGAATAACTTCACATCCTAAATAAATATAATACTTTTATTTGCTGTAGAGACCGAAAATATTAGTCAAGTTAATTTTTTGAAAAGGTTAAATTACAATAATTTTGAGAAAAAGTACTATCTATTAAACTCGTTAGGAACTCTTCTTTTCATTACTTAAAATTCATCGTAAAATATTAAATAAAAAAGAGATTTATTAAATAATATGTTAGACCCATCTAAATTGAAGTGTTTTAATAAACGTTAACTAACAAGAATTAAAAATTTGTAAACTTAAGTTTAAATAAATTTTACTTGTAAATTAAGTTTTTGCAAAACTATTTCTGTTATTTTCTGCTTCAAGTTGAATGTGGAGAAAAAATTAAAGCAAAACTTAACCCAACTGAAAGCAATAAAAAACTTGAGACTTCCCAACCGAAAATCAAACCTAGCCCTAAGCATAGACAAATTTGAGAAAAGGATGATTAGTTTCAAAATGGTGGGGACATGACATAAGGCGAGAATTATGGTAATTTGTCGCTCATTCCAAGGAGCCTGTTTTTCTTTTGTTTGCTTTCATGCTTTTCTATTGTCTATTCTTTTCATGCAGGAAATGGAGTGGAGAGTTCAAAAGGGGGGTTGAAGCCTGCAATTTGGATTTAGTTCATTCATACAGAAGGGTTTTAGGGTTTGGGTTTGTGTTTGTGGCAGACACACAAAACACAAAACCTTTCTTCATTGTGGAACCTTGACTGTTAAAGGGGTGCTTTATCAATCATTTTGTTTCTGGGACATGCAGTGTTTTAAGGATTTGGTTAGTTGATTCATGCTTTATTCTCTTTTTGTCTGAACCATCTTTTATAATATCATAAATTGATACTAGACTTATTCACTACTTATGAGAAGATGAATATGTTAAATCACCCACAGAATATGCCAAGGTTGTTTTTTAAAATTGTTTATACTGTGGGATTTTGAACATGTTGAATGAGTAGTTTCTTTCACCAATCATTCCTTATGAGGGTGTGGCTCCTTCTCTTTTGCAAAGTCAAAATGCTAATGATTTCAACTAACATTTGCAAACACCAACATTCTTCTCCCAATCATCATTCAATCAACAAAATATAATTACAAAAACAAAAAATAATAACATTAAATTCCTTTAACAAAAAATTAAATAGAATACACTATTTGTCATATATAATTTTTAGTAATGGAGTAAATCCAAAGTTTGCGTTAACATATGCAAAAATTAATAATCTCTGGATAATACAAAACAAATTGGATGCAAAAAAATTACAAATTATTAGAAACCACTTAAAAGTAATGTACCTTCTCTTTTCAATTTTCACCATAAAAAAATCCATACCCATATTTATTATTTTTATTTCTCATAATAGTAAAGTATTGTCAATGAGTAATTGTATATAGTGTAAAATAATATTCTTTATTAAATATTACGAAATATATAATTATTCATCATAAAAATATTGATTAACTTTGTTGAAGACTTTGAGTTCATACTAAAAAAAATTGTATTAAATATTAGTTAATTAAAAAAATTTACTCATTATATTGCCCAAATTAAATATTATTTGAACTAAATTGGTTTCTTAAATAAAATTTAAATAGCTCTCTAACATTAGTTACCAATGTTTTAACTATTAATTGAAAATTAAACTTTAAATTATTAAATAAAAAACTATTTTTTAATTGATAGCTAAAATCTTCATAAATAAAATTAAATATTTTTTATCTATAAACTAGTTTATATTTAATAATTTTCTTGTAACGATGGTATATCTTTTCGAAAAATAGTTTATTTCATATTTAAAGTGATGTTACCACGATAATTAGTAAATTTAAAAGATTATTTATTCTCTTAAGAAAAAAAATTAGCTTAAGACTAAAAAAATTTGTAAATTATATTTAGTTTTGACCAAAAAATAATTATTTATATTTTTTTAGTGTATGATATTGTATATTACAATATCATTAATAAATGTTATATATTATTAACTAAATTTAATATATAATTTACTTGAATGTAAATGGTATATTTAGTACATGTAACTTTCAAATGTTATGTAGAGTATCACCAAATTAGATCTTGTACTTGATCTTGTAAAATCAATTTAAGTTACGAGTATATTTGAGAGTCAAATGACGTTGTTTAAAAGACATTTATTTAAAATGAGATAATAAGTTTATGAAAATTAGTAAATATCAAAGTCGCTTTGGCCGAGTGGTTAAGGCGTGTGCCTGCTAAGTACATGGGGTTTCCCCGCGAGAGTTCGAATCTCTCAGGCGACGTTTATTTTTATTTTTGTTCATGTTTATTTATTAACTTATTAATAGAATTAATAATAATAGTAAATGTTTTTAATATTGTATAATGTTAAAAATAAAAATAATATAAAATCCTAAAAAAACATAGATAAAATTTTAAAATAAAACAAGTTATTTTACACGTGGTGTAGGATAAAGAGTTCATAAAAAATGGTTTAAGTAATAGTAATTTCTTTACTTATCTTTGATAATAATAATGAAACTTAAAAGAAGTGTTATTAATGCGTTGTGCAATGAGCTTTTCTTTTGGTCAAAATGGAAATTAGTTGATGCAATGAGAACTCACAAGGAAAGTAGCCATGATGAGGACCCACAATGTAGAGTATCACGAGATGACATGAAAGTTAAAACATTCAAGGGTCCAGAATAATAAATATCCATTAAAACACTAATGGGATCAAGTACACACACTCACTCAACCCCATTAAAAAACTACACGCACTCTCTCCAATTTGGAGATGGCCACATTACATACATTTACTACCCACAGTTACAACACACCAGAAAGGTAGGTATACAAAATCAATATTGAAAGAAAAAATAAGAAAGGAGAAGGACCATTGGATGCCCTTTTGCACTCCAAATGGCTACTTTTCTTATAAAAAAAAAAAAAGGGAAGGGATGAAAAGAAGAGAAACTAATGTATATATAGCAAACAAAGGGAAAAAAAAGAAAGTTGGAAGCCCATGGAGACTACTTTTGAGTTATGGGACATCACCAACTTTAACTAGTTAAAATGTAGTAATAATTGCCCCCTTTGGTGTACTAGTGCTTGTACCAGTTGCACCAAAGGCTTGTGTTGTGAGTGACTAGGGGTAGAAATTTAGACGAGAGGTGTAAGTTGCCTTTGGAACCCAATTGCTTGGAATAACATCTCTTGCAGAGAGGCTTCTACCAGTGGAAGAGCTCAATTTCACTGAGAACGGTCCCCTTAAAGGTCCCCCAATAATGCACCAGTTTGCACCCCACAGGTGATTCATCTGCAGCCACTCTATGGACCCTGCCTGCCAGTACCAAAATACAACAACGCTATTAACAAATAATTAAGAGTAAAATGAAGTAACAAGCCTAATTTTTCCCACCTACTTACTATGCAGGGAATTACAGTATGAACACCATTTAATAATTTGTTTTGGTAATTTAGTTCCTAAACTTTTAAGTCCTTTCATACAGTGGGGAGAAATGAGGAATGTTTAACATTGGTCCCATATCACATGCTTTGAGTTCAGAGTATACAGAAAAGGCACCACCATCAGATGTTGCCAATGGGCACCATTATGCATCTGAGGAATAAGCCAATGATAATATATTTAATAGGAGAGAAGATGTTCCACCAATTGCAAGCTTTGGCAGAATTTATCCTAAAGTGCAAAATATGGTAGTGTTGAGGCACGTGTACTAAGAGACACGTCCCCATAATTTGGAATTGTCAAACTTTGGACATGGGAGTCGGGACAGTTAAAAATGTGAATGACCATAATGCTTTATTTCACCTTTGGGCAGTTACTTTAGGTCGAATCTGCAACACTTTTCAAGAACCAGGGCTACAATCACTATATTACCATCCCTTGCACTATATTAGTTAAAATAAACCAAGTGTACATTCTAGCTATAAATATTTCTATATATATAAAGAATCTCTCCAGTTTCATATATTTCACATTACCACATTAGACGCCATTAGCTGTAACGGAATCTGATTCTCTGAGACCAGAAGTTTAAGATTCTTCTCTCCTGCCTTATTTTTTTGTTCTTCTATTTTTTACTCTTTCTTTCTATAAATTATGCACATGTAAGTATAAATATGGAATACTTGAGGAACATAGATGGAGTAAAAAATATAGCTGTATTAATAGTCAATATTAAAAGTGATGTATTACGCAAATAAATATCAAGAAGAGAGGAAAGATGCATACTTCTCGTATATGCATGGAGCCAATATCACCCTCTGCGTCCTCAAACTCGACCAGAAGTGATAGCCAGAATGGTGTGGAGCCTTCGTTAACATGAAAAGCAATTTTTCTCCCGGGATATTTACACGGTGTTCTGCAAATAATACAACCACAGAGGACAAACCCCATTCATTAGAAATAGATATTTAAAGTGAGCCTTTCCTCTGATAATCCACAAACAAAAACAAAAGGCACATAACTCAGGACTCAACAAGGGTACACAGATGCAGATGATGTAGAATCCTGATATATAGAAGCAAACAGGAAAGCACAAACAGAGAGTAACCTTTTTTCCTTTTTAGGGAAGCTGGGTTAATATTATAAGCAAGAAAAACAGTAAAAGTCAAATCTTCACATAAACAAAAGAAGGGAAAAACGGTCCAAGTCATAGTCAAAGAATCTCCCTGCCCCAGAAAAAGTAATACAATCAACTGAACAATGCTCACACTTACAGTATACTATATGTGTATATATAGCTGTAAATCACTATAATTTTTCACATCTCAAATAACATGTTTCTAAAACATAATACATGCATACCTTCGGTAAATGACAGGGATTTGACCACGGTCTCTGAGAGGACCGTTCTCGCCAGCAATGGCCATGCGGCCAAAGGCAGCACCACTGAGATCGAAGTGTGTTTGGTCAGAGGGGCAACCGGGGCACTCGTCGGTAATTATGACTGTCACGGCTCGTCTCGAACATATGCTCTTGTCCAAACACCTCACCTTGTAGCAGGCACCACACCCTTCCCCGTTCATGAACAGCAAGGGCCCCACTGCTCCCACTCGCGCCCTGAACGGCTTCACATCCACCATCGAACCATACCCACAAGCCCCACCTTCACACATCATTCACCCAATCAATCTCCACACACAGCAACACTTCTCACTCATCATTAACCCAACACAACACTCACACCATATAACAAAAAAATTTACAAACTTTTTCATCATTTTTAGTATAAAATTTCCTATTACGTTCTACAACTGTGATTTTGTAATGACCCCACAAAACTTTTACACATTTCTTAAGATTTTATCTCTTAGATAAAGTGAACCTAACGTTGCCACAGATTTGAGGTTAATTTTTATTTTTTCACTATTTTGAGTCACAAATTAAAAAAGAAGAATCAATGTAAAGAAGTAAAGCATCTGTTTATCTGCAAATTACAAACTGAAACTTAAGTTTTGTTTAAGAACAACACTGAAAGCACGTAAAAAAAACTAAATAAATTGTATAGTTAAGAAAGGGATGAGAAAAAAAAACACAAATTGTAATAAATTGTTAGAACACGATAAATAATTAAAAAATTATATTATATAAACTGTTGTACGTGTATCAATTCTCAAAAGAAAATCTAAATATGTGCATTTCTCGTTAAAATTAAGATTTCATCTAAATTATATATATATATATATATATATATATATATATATATATATTAAAGATTCTAATTAGAATTCAATACCAGAAACACAATTTAAATTTTGTCTTTATTTTCTACATTTGTATTCACCGAGTTAACTCGGCGAGTGAAGTGTGTGTTAGTGAGTGGAATGTGGAAAGAAGTGATCTTGTAAAGGTTAGTTACCGGTGCTGCCATCTCCTTCGGGGTCGCCATACCAGGTGGCCGTTCCGGGGTACCAATGTAGGTCGGGGCCGTGGTGCTGAGGCTGTCCCTCGGCGGCGTAAAGCAGCACGAGCTTCAAGGCGAAGCAGAAGGAGGCGAGGCTCAGTTTCGCCACCGCGGAGGCACGGTGGGGCTGCATTGTGCCGCGAAGAGAAGTGAATGGCGCGCAGCCGAGGTTGGAAAAAACGATGGCGTTTGGGGCGTTGCCGACAGTGTGGTGGCGGCAGAGTGAACGAGTGTTTGTGGGTTTATTTTAGTTAGACAGTTAAAGGGAGTTTTGGGTTTTCTTTATAGTACAACAGGGCGTAACTCTTTTTACCATCTGGTCCGTTCGTTTGGTGTTTATTTACGCAAGGGTGCCACTGAGGACTCAGCGTGGGTCCCACCGGTAGTTAAGGCGTTAATTCCGCGTTTGCGCGGGAAGAAGACAGAAGGGTCTATTAGTCATTTCGCCCTGAAAACATATAAATGAACCAAGTCCAGGTTTTAAACTGATAAATAAAAAACGAATTTTTGTAATAGTTAGATTTCTATAATTTTTAGTTGTTGAGAACATGGTATATTAGAATAAGTTTATAACTTTATTAATTTTATGAATGGTTTTACTTGTTTTTTTATTAGTCACAATTTTTTATGTGTAAATCTTAAGGAATATAATAAATATTTTTTATTTTATTAGATGTGTATACTAATATTCTATTATGTCCTTTCTCTCTTATGTTTGTTTATTAATTTAAATAATATGTAATAGTATAATTTGTAAAATATAATCAAGACTATTTAAGCTTTGAAATGTGAAAAAATAACTTTTTAATTATTACACGTCAAAACATACTCAAAATCATGAATTCTGAGGGATTTTGAGAATTTTGAATGAGATTCCCTGTGTGTGAACTTCTGAGGGATTTCGTTGACATATGTTAGGATCCTTGTCTTTTTGCACGTGAAATTGTTCATCCGTTCAAAACGGTTTCTATATTTTAAAATAATAAATAGAAAGGTTGATTGTAAGATTATAAACATATATATGATTACATGCATTCACATTGTAAAATATTATAAAATATATGCTCCCAATAAATCCAATATAGTTACCAGATAATTGAATTAAGAGTTCAATTCTTGCTCATGGATAACAAGGACATTTGAACAAAATATTAAAGATACAATATTACAGTAATTATTTTAAAAATTATATTTTAAACGAAAATTACAAATCTTGGTTTATTTTAAAATTAAAATAAAAATATCTGTAACTTGATATAATGTATAAAAATTGAAAATTCATATCAATTAAAAATTGAAATTAAATAAAAAAATATTTCAAAAGAATAAAATTATAAATAAGATTGAATATTTAATTGAAGAGAAATTATGTGATTCAAGGTAAATGAAAATATTTCCAAAAATATGTCGTTAACAATGAAGACAACAATTTATTGCATACTGTTCTCTGTATGTACTAAGAAGTATACATTGCAACATCTAATCAGTTAAATTTTTATATATGTGTGTTTGTGTGAGAGATATTTAAGAGAAAACTAATTGTTAAATTAAATATGTGAATATTAATGATCTTTTAGATATATTAATGTTGATTGAAGATATTCAAACATTAATAGAATTTTTTTTTTTTTACTTTTATAGTGTGAGAGGTACATATATGAAATAAAATAAGAAAGGAAGTTCACGTAATGTCTTGGGATGGTTTTCTAATTTCAAAAACTTATTAAATTAGAGATCATTTAGTATAATTGAAAAAGTCAAAACTTTTTATACAAAGCATAACTAAAAAAATATATATCATTTCAAAAGTGAAATATATAAACTCATAACTTATGTAAGAAAATGAAAATGTAAGTGATTAGATAGTTTGAAGAATAAAAACTTAAATATAGAATGTCAGAAAATAGACTGTGTTTATTTTCTTGATTGGTTTGTCAAAGAAAGTTTCATGGCAATAATATGAATGCTCTTAAACACAAGGATGACTTTGTCTCTAATAGATTTTTGACATTTTCTTGGCTTCTTTTTAGGAGTGTGGCTCATTGCAATATGGTGACAAAAATGGCTAGGTAAGTTTTCCATGGTATTTTATTTACTGGTTGAGAAATTTGCGGATAGTTTCAAGGATTTATTGGTTTCATGAACAATCTATTACCACTGTTTTTGTATTCAGACAAAATTGTGGACCATATTCATATACAAACAAACAAAATCACACTGTACATCTTCTGCAGAGTGTGTAGGTTAACCCTATGATCATGGAGTGTTATAAAATACAGCAAACTGACTCAACTTAACTGATAATATTGAGTTTTAGATTCATGCATTAAACACTTACAGAAAGGTAATAAATACCAATGTAACAATTATAAAACAAAATTATCTCTTTGTAAAAGATATATGAGTGTTAAAAAAGAAAAATAAAGCTTTGTGACATAATCATACAAAACTAGATTACTTTGACTAAAGAAGGGAACACACGATGAAAGCAAATTACTCATTTCTAAGTTTTGGTTCCAAAAGGTTATGCAATTGGAAAAGAGGGGGTTTGTACTTAATTAGCACTATTTTCAAAGTTATTATGTTTCTATTTCTTTTTTTGGTTAAAAGTTGTTAATTTGTTATGATGAATTATTCATGAAAATGAATCTCCAACCTGCCATGAAATCCGCATATTGTTTTCTTTGATACTATGTGAGAGATCCAAGGTCAGGATTCTGGAAGGTAGTGCTGACTACCAAGGTAGCAAAATTTAATGATACCGGGGAAGGTGGAAAATTATGAAGTAGTACTACCACTACTATACTACAAGATTTCCACACAAAAAATAAATAAAGGTTTTGTGAGTTGTGCGTAAGAATCTTTTGCATTTGTCTGCAAGCTTGAAATTTACACATGCAAAAAGTCAGTGGCAGCCAAATAACCTTTCTGTTCCAGAGTTAAAGGGTGGTTCTTATTCTAACCTCATTAATATATCTAATTACCATAGACTACTGCAGTGTTATTCATATCTTAATGATAAATTGTTGCAGAGGAGATAGAAATTGCAGGTTTTATATATAAAATATGCAGTTCTGCTTTCTTACTGAGAGTCTGAAACCTGTTGTCAGGTTTTGCTGTCTAGAAATTAATTATCAAAATTGTTATTTTGCACACACCATTATTACTTTATAATCGGAGTATGATGTGATATGCAAACCACGTGTAAGAGGCATGAAGCATCAAATCAAACAAATATATGGCTGGATTGTAATGCCTTTAATGGAAGGTTTTAGTTCAGTGGGGAAGGAAAAAAAACACAATGAATATTTCATATAGAATAGATTATATTTTGATATTCTTTTTTACAAAACTTAAAATATTATCCATAGAACAAATTTGGTTGACATTTATTAAAAATAATCACATTATTATTGCTTGAAATTTTTTTCTATAAATATCAATCCATAAATAATCATAATTTACATCAACAAATAAATAATTTTAATAATATCAACTAAAATATTACTACCTTACATCAAATAAAAAATAATTTTGATAGGATAAAATAACTCTGATTTAATATGGACTGATGAATGACCTTATTAATATAGATTAAAAAAAATTATAATTAATGTTGATTAAAAAAATTTGAACTAATGTTGATGACAATGAATCTGACTAACATCAGTTAAAAATGATGTTAATTGACATTGACAGAAAGAAAACAGTGTTTGACATCAAACAGAAAATATATCGATGTAAATAAAGAAATCCCAAATTAACAGTCAATAAAAAAATAAATCAATTTACATCAACAAAAAAAATATCATTGTTGATGATGAAGAAAAATAATATGATAAATTTGAGGGAATTAAAATAATAATAATAATAATAATAATAAATAATTGATTTTGAAAATTGATTAAACATTTTAAAAGAATAAAAATAAAACCATGCATATAGAAAATGATTAGGCAACGAAATTATTGCAAGTTGAAGCCGTGTTGAAGGAGGAACGAAGTCACGGTTTCTGACTTGTACTTGCGGTTTGAGACAAAGTGGGTGCAATGGCAAAGTAATAATACTTTAATCGACATGAAACACGATGTCTACTCAAAAGAGGGTGTTATTATCTAAACACAACTAAAAAGTGATTCTGGTGACTTTGAATAAAGCACGATTAAGTGGTCATTAAAGAGGCCTCAGAGTTCCATTCCATGTGAGTTGACTACATGTAATTTTCTGAATCACACTACACTATACTAAAAACATAATTGAGCATGTTAAGATTGAATATAATAAGAGAAAAGCACGGTTGAAGAGGAATGTGGAGAATGTAAAGGAGTGTTTGGTTTCCCTTTATCTTGGTGGTACATGTGTTAGCGTGCGACGATAGACTTTACGGGTTGTCCGAACGAGCCACATGGCCTGATTCTCTACGCTGTGTTTGGCAGGCTTTATGGGCCATAAATATTGAGAAAATGTAGAATTTGCTTACCCTTTTGGGAAGAAAAAGTCACAGGTGAATATGTACCTTTGCATTCTCCACATGCTTCTTCAGATAATCTACTCTAAAATTATTTATTTCTTTATATTTTTTTTCTAATAATATGTTTGAATTTCCTCCAAAGTAATGAACTTTGAAATATTGTTCATTCTGAGTTTTGGAAATTCGAGTCTACATTTTGGATATGAAAAATTGAAACTACTAAAGTAGTTTGAAATTTTATTTTACTTCGTCCTATGCCAAATCAAACATGTACTACATACTATTGTGTTTGTCTCCAATTTTTATGCAGTTTTTAGAAAGAAAAGTTAATGTTATTCCAAACACTCACTCAACTAAATTTAAGATTAGAGATTTTTTTATCATGAGATTGTTTAAATTAGATGTAACAATAATATTAGAGATTTAATTTTCTTTGGTTTTAATGAGGCATGTTGAATGTCCTACATAATAGAATAATTAGGATTTTTTTTAATTAAGCTAAGTTTAATATAAAATAAGGATTCAGAAAATAATTGAAATAATAAACTTGAACTTGATAAAATCCGATTAGAAGACTTTACCACTCATTTAAATGTCCTAAAACATCTCTTGAATATTTCTGTTAGGTTTAAAAAATATATAAAATAAAAAATTTACATTTTAAAATGTTTCTTTGTTTTTGTTTTTCAAATAACACAATAAAATATAATTACTTTCACAATGGTGTAAGAAATTCTCAAGCTTTCTTAGCAGACTTTTTATAATTAATATTTTTATGTAATTTAACTATTTTTATGATTCCAATAATTGATATTACTCATCTAAAATGTTAATTTATATACTCATATAAATTAAATTTCAATCACTCAAATATACTAATATATTCTAAATTACGACTCACGGTCAAAGCATCATGTTGTCTTCTCTATGGCTTATTGAGAATAAATTACATGAAGTGCATTATCACTTCTCACATTTCTCTTAATAAGTAGTAGCTCAGGAAAGTGACAACAAATCATCTCTGAAATCTGTTCTCTGCCACATGAAGCAATGAAATCACCTCCCCATGTCACTTATTACACAAAGACAGTTTCTTTTTGATACATTCTTGCTCCAACAAATCAACCAAGTTATCCACATCCCCTTTTTCAACAGCATTCTACAACTGAAAAATTGTAACATTTTTCTCACCAACAAGTTCCTTATGCAGTATTCCCCTTGTGAAGCTACATACATCTCTTGAGTACTTCAGAGTTGTTTGCTCTTCATTTACTCCATCCTCTTGCTGCATCTCTGTTCCCAGCTTGCATCACTGCAATATATATTTATTTTTCTTGTTCCCTTGACCACTGTTCCTTTTAAGTAACATTGATTTCCAATATCCCTCATCAGTTATGATTACTCTTTTAGTAAAGAATTTATTTGATCACTTCTTACATATTTTTTTTTTCTTTTATGGTGTTTTTTCTATTACAAACCTTTTTTATTAAACAGGGCATACAATAATATAATTTTGCTGTTATAAAAACTGAGGCCAGACCATCAATTTTCAGAACTATGATCCCAAATTTTCATTTGCGTGAAGGAAAATGACTCAACAACAACGTCTATATTTGATATTTTCATTCTGAATTTGACTCAGAAAAAGAAACATAAGCATCACAATATAGTTTATTTCCTAGTTACAAGTTCATCTAATGACACATACTCCTCTAACTAATCATTCTTGTCCTTGTTCTCTTTCTGAGAAGACGAATCTCTTGGCTTATCATCATAATCTAGTAATGCAATTATAATATGAAGAACGACTCTGCCAACTTGACGAAATAAAAGAAGGTGAATTCCAATTGGAAAAAATGCAAAAATACCCGACAAGATGATGAAACTATACATGACTCCAATGGCAGTTATGAGAAGGGCAAGCGCGTAATTGTTACCCACAACTAGACGTACAGCAGCCAAGAATGCCACTGGGACTGTTAAAAAGGCAAAAACCAAACAACCCATTGCAAGGATTGTTGCTCGTGTTGCCAATTTATGATCAAAAATCAGTGCCATCAACATAAGTCCACATGCAATTACAGAGCTATACATAGCTGTCATGTTGAAGGTGGTGAATACCCAGAATAATGCTTTATCAGCCAAAACTGCCATCCCTCTATTTTTTGGGTTTGGGGCATCAGGACCGTATACACCTCCTGGTACAGTGAAAGCAGCTGCAAATGTCACTGTGACCATCAATGTGGCCACAACTAAAAATGTGTTGAGGAGATCATTTAAGCTCAAAAGTTTCAGTGGTTCTTGATGTTGAGAATTCAACATATCATTTACCTTCGAGGGGACACCTGCTTCTTTTAACACTCTTCTTGCTAGAAACTGCATGAAAATTACAAAAGTTCAGAAAAAGAAAGTAGAAACTAACATTAGATGTTATGCATGATCAACAGATAGTATTCACTGTAGAATAGTTATGACGATTCTACGGATATTAATGATTGATCATTACCTTTCGAATCGTGATTTTCTCTTTCATAGCCAGACCAATGATATCTTGAGCCGTTAAATCGCTGTTATTCGAAAGCTTCAAATCAGTTCTCTTGTCTTGTGTGAAAAGGTATAGAATTTTTGGAAATAAATTTATTGAAGCCAAATGCAGTGGAGTGTTTCCATTGTTGTCTTTTTGATTTATAGTAGATTGATCAATCTTCGAATTTCCCAACAGATATTGTACCACTTTACTTCTTCCATTCTCCGCAGCAACATGAAGAATGTTCTGGCCTTTTTTATTAAGCAGAACATCAAGATTAGTAACACATTTGTGTTGAAGAAATTTTTTTACCACCTTAACATGACCCCTTTTGCAAGCAAGGTGAATAGGAAGATGACCCTTCTTGTTTCCTTCAAAAACAGTTTGATCTGATTTCTGAAATGAGTTTTCTAATAGTATTCGAAATCCTTCACCATAACCAATGTAAGCTGCATAATGAAGGGGAGTACCTTCATCTTCATCCCTTAAATAAACTAGCTCTGGTTTTTTCTTCAATATTTCTTTTATCAAAGCTATATTTCAACGACATAAAGAAAATAAATTTAATTAGGAGCTTTCTAAGGACAAATTAAGGCATGATATTTATTTTAGGGATCGCAAATTTTTGAATTTTTTTTGTTTTTAATTTTTAAAATAATTTTAGAGATTAATTTTAAAATTTAAAAAATTTGAAAAAAAATCTTATTTGATAACTATTTTAAATAGAAAATAATGATATAGATGACAAAAAACATTATAATAAAAATTGAAAAATGATACTGAGTAAGGAGGGAATATAATACCAGGCTTTCTTTCCAATATGGCTGCATGAAGGGGAGAGTTTCCAAAGCAGAGTGGAAGAGGTTGATGAGCAGGGAATGGAACTTCCAACAGAAGATGAAGAATGTCCACATTCCCATTCACAACACCCAAATACAGTGGTGATCTTCTTGACTTGTTCAAACAATGAACCACATCTTTATCTCCATGTAAAATCTCTTTCACCACACCAACATCCCCACTATACACAGCCTCATGCAAAGGAGTATTCTCAAACTCATTCTTTTCTCTTGTCATCTCTTTATCTCTCATCCCATCATGCTTTCTTTTCTCAATGGCATAATGGCAGAGAATTAACTTCACTATCGTAGAGTTCTTGGACCTCACAGCAACATGAAGTGCAGTATCACCTCTCACGTTTCTCTTGATAAGAAGCTCAGGAAAGTGACAACAAATCAGCTCTGCAATCCGTTCTCTCCCCTTATCTGCTGCCACATGAAGCAGTGAATCACCAGCACAGGTAGCTTGATCAAAAACACCTTTCAGAGGCACTTTCCTTCCTTCACACACTCTTTCCAACTCGTCAACGAAGTTATCCACGTTTCCATTTTCAACAACAGCGTTCAACAACTCAGAAACCATAACTTTTTTCCTCCCAACTAGATCCTTATGCAGTAGTTCTGAAGCCGCATCTTGACTTTGGAACTGTCTTTTCTCCAATTCTTTCATCCTTCTGCTGCATCTCTCTTTCCAACTTGCATCATCTGAGTCGATAGGAATTTGCACATGATCACGACTCATGATTTAGGTACAGCTATCAAAATTAAGGTTGTAACTCACAATAGATGCGAACCCGCAATACCTGAGTATATATAAATTAAGTTTTTGCAATGCATCAATCCATAAATTATGTTTTACTAATGATTAAAGAATTTATTTGCATCTACCATTGTCAAAACGGTGTGTGTTGAATGTAAATGGTAGGTAAGTAGGTAACATAATTCCTTGTATATATAATTCTTGTTTGACGTGAAGTGAAATTTTTAAACTATTTTATTCGTGAATTATTAATGCTTAAGATTAGATCCTAGATTTATTTATTTTCCATTCCCATACACTATCTTAGAAGAAGGGAAGACGTTGAATATGATAAAATATAACCTGCCATTATTGTTGGAAGGAAGACACACTCTTCGTTTGTGACAACCAGGCCATAGCTTATCAAAATGTCAACTCGATAATGGGTGGAGTTATATCAACATCTTAGATTTCTGTAGATTTAATGACTAGACTCGATGAAGACAAATTTACGTCCAATGAAAGCGAAACTACCTTTAACAAGTAAATTACGTCCATAATATGTTAATCTAATTTCCAGTAAAAAAAATAAGAATAAAATTGTACAAAGTTAAGTTAGTTTTTAAACTAACAAAGAAATGTTGTATGTTCTATAAAATACAAGTAAAAAAAGTACGAATTGAATTAACTAATAAATATAATTTAATATTATTAATGAAATTCACCAAGAAAAGACTATTGATAAAAATAAATTTATATTGACTTACATCATTTATTAGAACTACTATTAACTTCAATAATTTAAAAATTAGATATTAAATAACTATATAAAATATTATTCTATTTTATATGACGAATATTTTACCCCACTAAAAATAAAAAAGATAATGCTCCATGTAACTAGCTTGAAAGCTGTTAACGCTTAATATATTTGAAAGTTTCACATAATTTAAAAGAATGTATCAATAATAATTTATTGATATTTTTTTTATTTGATCTTAAAACACTTAATCATAAAAAACTATAATAAATGCACAATATTTCGAATACGACGAATCAATGGAAGTTGAGGTCGTAACAACTTCCATCACCATGATGGAAATTCAACACATTTGACTCAATTTGAACCTTTAAATTTATCCATACTTAAGCGTCAAAAGTGTAAAAACTTGGTGTAATTCTTCATCAAATTGGGAACAGGATTTATCAATGGTTCCTAGATAGTGTGAGTTGATATGAAAATGAAGTTCTCAAGTACCCAATATTAAGAATGTATTACAAGTTTTATAATAAAAGTTAACTAAAAACCAATTCCAGCGATGAAGACACCAAGTCAAAACCACAGGAGACACATAGGCATAGAAGAGAATACTAATAACTAAGAAATGCCTTTCCATTTCGTTGGAAATGAATTCCTCATGGAGACTATAAGTTCAATTCTTAAATTTTTTTTAATAACTAAATACCATGTCAATCTAAAACAGTTTTTTCAGCAATTAATTTGTCAGAAAAGGTGCCTTCATACATAGTACGGTTTCAAAAAGATACCATTACTTCCAAACTTAGAAGTAACAAGTGAGCAAAGTTACAGTTCCCATATCAGCGTCTTCAAGGTCAGAAATGAGGGATAAATTGAGATCTTAGACAATTATTTCACTTCAGCTAAAAATTCTCATACCACTACTGAGAGAGCACGATAGATAGAGAAAATGAGCCTACAAGACTACAAGATAAGCACATACTTGTAATTCTGATCCTATTTTCTTTCTCAAGTTTCTAAAATACTAAGTTATTCATTGCCAAATAACTGTGAGGTAAAGGGAGAAAAAAAAAATCTAAAATACTAATCTATTCTTTGTCACTTAAAAGTTAATATAGTTCAGAACACAGTAGCATAATCTTGGGATGCAGCTAACACTAGAAATAGGAAAACTGGATGCAGAGACAAGCTGCGGATTTTGCTTTTAGGGTTTAGGGAATCAGGTAATTAGCACTCGTATTTTGCACTGAAATAATATAAATCACGGATTCCCTCTAATGAAAGACATTTACATATATATTATAAGTAAATATCATTTTCTTCTCCACTTGTTCAATTTATGAAATGATGTTTATCAGAATCTCAAGTCTAAGAAGTTTAAACAGAAAAAAGGGTGCAAAAGAAAGGGCCAATCATGTTTTTGTGTAAATGCACTGGACACCAAAACTCCATTTTGTATCCACAAAGGATGAAAAAGAATATTATTAGTTCATATCTGATCCACATTTTAAGATACTTTCAGCAGAAGAGGCAGGGGGTTGTGTTTTATTTACGATATACAGATATGAGATATGATACACACGTTTACTCAACTGTATGAAAATGGTGTATCGTCGAAGGATCTCGATAAGCACTTGTTTCTCCATAGCCATTAATCCAATAGTTAATCCATCTCCAGCATACAGATCATCTTCTAAGCCAACTGCCATTGAAAAGGACTGGTTCCCCCACCTTCCATGACTCCAAACGTCAAGTTTCAATTGAAGGAAATGAATGGCCTTACCTATTTGACTGAATAATAAAATGGAAGTTTCATTTAAATGAGGAAAAGTGCAAGCAAAAGCCAAGGTTTAACACGATGACTATACAATAAAACAATAAGCAATACTTGTCTCACCAAGGAAACTAATAGTGACTAAATAAAATCATTTAGAGATTTCATAATGTATCTGACCACTGACACAATAATGTTAACATTAAAATTAAATCAATATCATGCAAAAATAAAGCATCATTAGAAGAGGTTGATGCTCTAATTTCTAAAAAAATGTTCCAAAACAAGGAACGGAGAAAATTGAGATCGCTAACATAAATACTAAAGACTCGATATAATACATAATCATTGTCAAATAAATTCTTAGTATACATCGAAGTATAGTCTATAAGCCTACTCGCCTCATCATACCACCTAAGCACAAGACTGGGGCATGATAATACGTATTTAAAAAGACTATAAAGGAATTCCAAGATGAATCCAGTAAGAAATCCAGATCAACTAAATTATATTCCAACCTATTTTTCCTTGTCACTTACCCTATTCCATGCATCATTTCCATGTGCATACCCTGGATCAACAACAACATATTGAGGTGGAGCATTCTTCAAGAGTGGCAACCTATCAGGACTATATTCATCATCACTGTCATAATATTGATGTGGCCCTAGTGCCTTGAGTATCATTGCCAATAATAAAGAGAGTCCCTGCTTGTTAATAGCACAGGCACCCATCCGTCAATGCATCATTCATTAATCAAATTGCAAAAGTAATTCCATCTTCAAGTTTTAGAACGAGAAGCAGTAGTGAGTAGAAATATGTAACAAAGAGCAACAAGAAATATGCTCTAGCTGACTACGTAGTGTACTGACAGAACAAATGGATTAGAGATTGTATACACACTGTAACAGTTGCCAGCTATGATGCATGGATATGATACGAGAATTAGATACTATTCGTATCCAATACGATGATACGTTAATTTAAAAAAAAGTAGGATACAATACGTATAAAATACACATTTAAAAATATAAGAAAATTCATGAAACATAATAACTAGACATAAAAAATAGAAATAATTATCATCATAAAATATTTTCTGTTATTTATATATAGGAATAAGACTATCATTCTCATTAATTTCACATACTTCATAAGAACAATCTTTTTCTTTGATTTATGAAAATTAATATTTGTATGTTTCTATTTTATAGATACATATATTTCTTAAACTTCCATTGAATTTAAATGATTTAAAGGTTTGGATTCTTTATTGATACGTATCACTGAAGCATCGGTCAAGTATCCAACACAATACGTATCGGATACAGATACGTGAAGCAAATTGAAGTATCTGAGCTTTATGGGTTGCCAGTTGTTTTGCATTGCTACTTATATACCTAGAACGATAGATTTAGATCTCCTCGACAACAGGAGCACTACCTATATGAATCCCTTAATAATAAAATATGCATCAAAATTATCAACAACTGAACAAAAGAGATAAATATAAAAGGTATAAACAGGATGCAGCTAGAAAGAAATGATGAAATCTGTTATTTTCTTTTTCCATTCTACTTTTTTCATAAAAGATTAAAGCTTATATTGACAGTGTGAAAGAGATGTGTGCAATAGAAGAAAGTTTCTGTTGTGTAGTGCTTATCATGTTAGTCTACCACACTACAGTTCCCCAAACATGCTTTTGGGAAAGCAATAGTATTTTTTAAATTACGTTCCGGTCATTGGAGACAGATTTTTTTAGTATGCTTTATTTGCAGAAGAGAAGGAAGAAACTACTTAGACAATCTTGAGAAGCTGAATACAAAGTTCCCTTAAATAAATAAATAAATAAAAGTGTGCTTAAAACATGTAATAATCTTGGACGTTGGAATTCAGTAGGAAATTTTGGTAATAGGTACTTATGTTTCAACAGTCATTGTGTGATAAATTGGTATACTATGTCACACACAGAGATTAGGAGATTTACCTGTACAGAAACAAGTGACAGGCCTACCCATTTGCACATCACATAATTTGACCCGATAAAATTCGTGAACTGATCAAAACTCCCTGAGGGGTCCTTTGGGAAGTCCTGATTCCAATTTTCATGTTTAAATGGATCAGTTTTAATATGTCATAGGAAGACAAGACCATAACATATACAAGTATTGAATTAACAAAAACATTAATGAAAAAGTTTTTTATATACAATACCTCCTCCCAGTCCTGATTCACAAATACATCAACAGTTACTGCAGCCTCCAGCATGATAAGCAAAGCCACAAACACCATATACTGTAAGCAGTCAAGGTCAACACCTCATAATGAGATGATTTTGCTATTAAACACAATGCTATTGATGTTTAAGCTGTTTGGAACCTCAATTCAGTGCACAAAACTAAAAGTTTCAGCCCTGAAAAATAATAGTGGTGTTTGTTTAATACTTACCAAAAGTGCAATTAAGTGGTAATAATTCAGTACACCGGAAATCAATGACCACAGTGTACTTCCCTTATTTAAATTATTACATGGTTATAGTTATCTTAACTATTGTATTATTTATTTCATAAAATGTTTTTTCCTAACATACATTAGCAATTAAAATTAAACTCTCTAATTCAATGCAAAAAGTTAAAAGTTTCAGCAGTGAAAATTATTTAAATTGTTAGCTAATAATACCTACCTAAATATAACCATGCTTAGTTTATTAAATTAAAACATTCTTTTCCTTACTATGCATGTAGTTCTAATTTAGAGTTTAAGAAATTGCTTAAAAATATTGTAAGAGTAATCTAATGATGCCTTTATATTTTTGTTTATTATATGATATGATATCTGTAATTTATATATATATATATATATATATATATATATATATATATATATATATATATATATATATATATATATATATATATATATATGTTATGTTGTATTCTTGCAACCTAAATTTTAAGAAATGCCATATCTATGTGTAGCATCGGAGCTGTATCTGGTAATATGCATGTATTTATTCATCATTCATTGAAATATAATGGTAGACTAAAAGAAAAGGATACCAAATACAGGCAACAGCCATTAGCAGTTTCAGCAGCAACATGACCTAAACAAGTTATAACACAGAACGCTGCTCCAAGTCCAAGAAACGTGTAAATGAACCTGATCTCAGAGAAAAAGCAATTTTTTCACAATCTATCCATACAGATCAGAAAACCTAATAATGTAAAGAGGAATTGAACAAGTAGGAAATAATGTGACCATAACTATATCAAGAACCATAACAAAACTGCAATTGCGACCACAATTTAAAACCTTGAACATATCCATATCCTAAGCCAGCCCCGCCCTGCTCCCAAACTCCCGGTAATAAATAATTGATTTCCTGGTACTCTTAATTTCAATTAACAGCTTGCTCGTGGACAGAATACAAAATTCAACAGCTTTATAATGCCAGACACAACTCCCCCAATAAACAATTAACTCCTTTGGTTTCCTTTAAACACTATCTTCCATTCAACACTTTAATAACAAAAACAATATCAAAACCCATTAGTATCATAAAACCAAATGATATAATATTTTATTCTATTATTAAAAATATTCAAACCGATCTTCACGGGTCAATCGAATTCCGAAATTTCTCATTCATCATCCCTACGGAAAATTAGACAAAAAAAAAAGGAAGAAAAAAAAGAGAATTTTACCATGGAGGTGGGTAATCAGAATCCTGATCAAAGGGAAGCTCACCAATCTTCCTCTGCCAAACCCTAACCATCCAAGCGGAGTACAGAATCATGGCTAGCCCGGCCAATCCAATCACCGAGTTCACCAGCTTCAATATCGATTGAATGCAGCTTCTCAACACCCTCACCATTTTCTTTATGATTTCTAATTCGTGGAAATGCGTAATGTATAATAAATTTAACCCCCTGAATCTAATGAAAACAGAATTGAAAGTCGAATTAGAATGCAAACAAACCCTAGATAGAAAATCTAGGGCTCGAACGCGTAGCAACGGATTCGAGAGAACTAGGAGGTTATGATACTCTCCTTTAGATTATTTTATGGCTGCAAGTTTTTCAGGCTATTATGACGTCATCATATTATTTATTTTATTATTACATTTGCTTCCAAATGCAGCATATCAGTTGCTGTGGTGTAGTGGTTATCACGTTAGTCTTACACACTAAAGGTCCCCAGTTCGATCCTGGGCAGCAACACAAAATAGTTAACTACATTCAACTTTTTGCTAAGTTTACTTTTAAGTTATGATATATAAGGCTTAATAAGATTAACCTGTAATTGTGATTCTAAAAAGCTTTCATCCATTAATAAAGAATATGTCGTTCGGTTTCTTTCAAAAATATTTTGAGCAATTCCTCTTTTGTAATCATCAATCATTCTATAGTTTCTTCAGACATTTGCACAATGTTACCTGTCTTTCACAGTGCATGTTCCAGAAGGACGGACAATTGCACAACATAGACATTTTCTGGTTGGAAAACAAAAAGTAAACCCACAAACCCTCTTTATTAAATTCTTGTTGTCTTCAAATAAGTGCTTCAAAATCACTGTTACAAATTTTGTTCTTTTAGTTAAATCACTGCTAGATGGTTAAACAGTGTGAATTTTAGATGGCACATAAAATGTTTATTTAATTTCTTCTTCAACTTGAATCAAAGTCCAAGTACATTCTAAAAGCATTTCTATCTGAAGAGTAGTAGCCTTGGATCAGCGTGTCAACTTGGAAACCATGTTTCTGGTAAAGATTCACTGCAGGAATTCTCAAAGGATCCACATGAAGCATTATGCGCGAAACTTTTCTTGTCCTGCATTTCTCAATTGCAGCTTTCAATAGAGTCTCTCCATGACCTTGCCCCCTCCATTGCTCCTTCACTAACAAACCAATAAATGTCCCCATATTGTCAATAATAAAAAATGGAAGATTCAATGCCAGCAATGTTTCTAAAATTGTAGTTCTCATTGAACAAGTTAAGGCACTAATCCAAGATTCAATTGTTCAGGTTAAACCAGTAGTAATAAAAATAATTAAATAATAAATAATGTAATATCATTATCTTATAGCGTTATAACTGTACATTATTTTATAGGATTTTAGTAATATCCAAAATAAGACAATAATGTGAATTAGATATATCATAAGTTTCAATAATACTCATTAAAATAAAAAGACTACACCTTGAACCAAAAAAGAAGATATCAAATTGTTTAGGTTGATATTTTTTATTTTCTTAAGAAGAAGAAAAAAAAAACCTAAAAACATCATATTGAACTTTTTTCATTAAGTTACTAGAACCTAGTTTTTGCTACTTTTCTATATTTTTTTACTGGTCTTTTCAAGGTTACTTTTATAGTTTATTATCCAGTTATTCAATTCAGACACCTCAGTCTGATTTTCATAACACTTTTCACTAGCTGAAGGTGTGAGATAGAAGACCACAATAGTCTCGTCTTCACAAGTAGTAGAAAGACTCGCATTATTTAGTTGGGAAATTTCATCAAACAAGTTATGGGCATAACTTGAATTCTGAACGATAACACAATACTTAACATTGGGAGTACGGAATTTAAAATTGTGAATGCAACCATCATCGTGAATTAGATGTAAGCGATAAAACAAGGTGGGGTTTGAACCTGCGAGCTTGGTGATGGAGGCGTACAAGGAAGAAGGCCAAGAATACATGACATAGCCTGCAAGCTCGCCATCCACCTGAAGGTAAAGCAATCCACTGTTCTTCTTTTTCAGTTCATCGTGAAAGAATGAAGCTAGTGATTCGTGTTTTGGAAAGATCTTTCTTTCCAATTTCACTATCTCTTCCACTGTCTTGGCACAGTTTCTACTGAGCTCAAGAATCGCCACATTCGCCATGTTTGAGACAAAAAAGAACTTGATACCTTAAACCTGTAAGCATAGTTCAGTTTATTTCAGGCTAGTGTTAATTTAACAGCTTATTATCTTTATTTAATTTATGTTTTTTATTAATTAATTAATTAAGTGCTGTCATGTAAGATTTTCATATATATAAATGTTTTTTATAATTAAAAATAAAATAAATAAAAATATCGTTATTTTGAATAATTTATTAAAATAAATTTAAAATAATATATAAATATATAAAAAAAATGCATATTTTTTTCAAATAATTATATAATACATGTAAGAGTTTTTTTAAAATTGGTAACCGAATATGTGGAAATACGAATTCCACCTTATTTAATAAAATAATATTTTATAATATAATAAATATATATAAAAAATTAATAATAATATTTTTTATAAAAAATAATAATAAAATTATGATTATTAAAAGATAGAAAAATTATAATTATGAAATATATTAAAAGAGTAAAATATGAATAATTATTAAAATAAAATAATTATTATTTAAAATTAATATAATTAATATGGGATAAAAAATTAAAATATATTATATTTTTTATACAAATTTTATTAAAATTGGTTTGATTTAAAAATTTATTTATTTTTTAATTTTATTTTAATTTAATTAAAATCTGATTACATAAAAATAACTAACCAATTTTTAATCAATAACTGAGATTTTTTATTAGATACAAATATTTTTTATGCATACATTTATACCACCGCTTCACTTTTCAAATCATTGGATATAAGTTAAAAATAAGTTCTTAAAACAATCATAGGATCATTCTTCTGATTTCAATCAAGAAAGATCTACACGAAGCATTTTGAGTTCAGCTCCCTTAGAAAAGTATTTTTATTTTTTAATAAATATAAATAATTTCTATAATTTTGAAATACAATATAAAAAATATTTTAAAAAAAGAGAGATTAAGATGAAATAAGACACAAGCTTGTACAATAGAAACAATATCAGTCAGTATCATGGAGAAACCTCTAATCAGATAAAAATTATTTCATAATATGTTTTATAAGTTTTTAAGTATAAGTTTTATTCTAATCAATTAAAATTTGCCAACTTTTATTATTGTTTGGAATATATATTTTCTTAAACTAAGGCAAGTTGAATAACAACTTTTTAAGTATTATAAATTTCATTAAATATTTTTAAATAAACGAGCAATTGTCAAATAGCTTTATCAATCATTTAATTGAAAGCATATAACATTTTTAAACAATTATTTAATTATAAATTTAAAATGTAAAGATTATTAATTTTTATAATAATTGTTTTAAAAATAAATCGAACTGTTCCAACAAATATCCAATCTAAGATAAGTTTGCAATGGAAGCGCTGCAGCATGAATATTTGAAGCAAATTGAAGATCTTCAATCTCGCCCGTGGAATACTATAATGTAAGATAAAGGAGCGAGTAAACTTTAAGGATTCAATTCAAGAGACAAATGATGTTGGTTCTGGGGTATCCTCCTGCCAATGCTAAATTTTTTAACGATGATTTGGCCACACCCTGTCACTGTTTTCACCCTCCAAACACAGTTTTTAGCCTAAAATGTTCACCGAAATTGCAATTCAGATGCTCTCCCTCCCAACGTAACACTTTTAAGAGCTTTTGCAGAAGGGAAGAAGAAGTCACACCCTTTCCTCAAGTATGAAAAACCATGTTGATTCCTTCCCAGGTCATAGACCTTCTAATTCTGATGTAATCATGAATCTAATATTGTTATTCTTTTTGTTATTCCAAATTTCAGGGATTCTCAGCCTTGCAAGAAGATGATAGTCCATGGGAGAGTGGGAATGTATGGAGCAATCTTGCACTCTATATATTCACTCTGCATATCCCTTTCAGTTTTGGAGGCTTATCCGTTGTGGCTTTATTCAATGGACAACCAGTTCTTGACCCACAAACTGAGGTCACTTTTGTTATTTGTTCATCTATTTCTTTAAATCGTTTGATTAAACCCCTATGTCATCCCAATACTAGACTGTTACTGTGTCTATCCTCTAAAGGTTTTTGTTATTTAATTAGTCCCGTAAGAAATTAACTTGTCAGCACAATATTACTCCAACTGTTTCATTACCGAATTGGTACTGCAAATGTGTGTTACCGTGATCTTACTATGGAACAAAGTGCTGATTAATGTATAGAAGATTAATGTGGTGATTATTTTGATACCCGAAGTTTTGAGGAAAAAGTAGATGATTTAGGGTGTGTTTGGAAAATTTTGGAAGCATTGTAAACGGAAAATTCCACTTTCCAAAGCAAGAAACCTAGGAGGAAGCTAGGAGATGGATTGGCGTGCAGTTCAACTGAACTGATTTCCAAAAAATACACTTACTCATTCTATTATTTGCTTTAATAGGTATAGATCAACAGTACTTGTCTAGTTCTGCAAGATTGAATTGGAAGTTGGATTTTTAAGGTTTGCACTGTGCTGTCTTCTTGTGCTTGGGGTAGCTTTCTTTTTAAAATGGAGTTTTTTTATGTTCACTTGTCCAGTGTGTACGTTAGAAGTTTTAAGGCAGTGCAATAGAGTATCAATGGAACTTGTGTTTCTATGTGATATACCATAAATGGTTGTTCATCTTTAGATTTAGTTCATGGTCTGAATTTACATTCTTAGGTTGAATAATTGATAGTGTTGTCTTCTGAGCAGATATTTTAACAAAATCTTTTCCCTGGCTGATGCAGGCCTTATCACTTCTCACCATTCAGATTCTCGAGCTTAGTGGGGCTTTAGTTTTATTGAAGTACACAGCTAAGCCACAATATAAGTTTTCAAATTTCTTCAAAAAGAACAACGTATTCAGCAACAGGAACTGGTTTTTGTCATCAGCTCTGGGATTTGGGTTTCTTGTTCTTCTGATTTTCTTAACTTCAATACTTGCTGACTTATTATATGGCTCCAAGGTTGGTGGTTACATTTTTTTTTCTCAGTTATTTCATTTCATTTGTGTAGAAAAACAATATAAACTATATGTCTAGCACATTTGTCATAGTTCTCCCTTGCATTGTCTTTGCTGCTTGCATAGCTCTCATTGTAGAACAATAAGTAGCTCCATTTCACTAATTGGGGCTTTAAGGCTTTATTTTGCAAATAAATAGCTTCAAAGTGTAAACAACAAATAAAGGCTAAGGTGGATGACAGGACAAATAGGATTTAATGAGAGATATGGATAGCTTGATGGATCAAAAAAGTTGGAAGAGTCAAGGGAAAGCCACTTGTACTACAATTCCCATTGGATTCCTTAATAGTTTTTTATTTAATTTACCAAGCCACTGAAACCATTATTCTCAGAGCAAAAAGTGGGAGGCTTCAAAAGTTTCATAGGCTTTCTCGTTGCACATTTAGGACCTCAAGATGCCCAATACTTTTTCAAGTTGCTTATTCTCAAGGTGTCCAGACAGTGGCAGGACTTCTCAGGATTTAAGCTTCCACAAGGAGCATGGTCTCCTTTGCAAAACACTAGGTGTTATGCTACATTAATTGTCTTGTTAGTTTGACATCTCAAGGTTTCTTCAAGGTCTTATATCTTTGTCAAAATCTGTGTAAAACCAACGGTAATAGGTTGGAAGCATCAAGAATCTTCTTTCAAACGCCTGTAGTTCAATACCGATACTGCTGTAGGTAGGTAGTGAATCAGAAACTGGTATTATTATGTTTTAACCTTTCACTTTATAAATATCTTTCTTTGCAAGCATTCATTAGTAAATAGGTATAATTAATAAACCTTGTCTCAAAAGATTGTCCTTCCTAAATCATGGAAAATACCCCACATTTTGAAGTAGTACAAGGCACTCCTGTTGCTAGACTTTGCAGGCAATGTGTAAGGGCAAGAGAGGGCTTTGGATATAACAAACTTGCTTAGATGGAAGCAGGCGTGGGAAGCAATGGGATCAAGCTAGAGGCTGTGTGGAATATAAGGTAAAATTGGGAAAACGAAAGATGTACGCAATTATTTTATGGGTATTTGAGAGGTATGTTATATCTTTTCTTTTTCTCTCCACTCTTGAGGAATTCTTAATGTCAACCTCTTTTTTTAGTTGGTAGTCTCCAAACAAATCCAAGTTCCTATCAACTAGCATTTTGAAAAAATGAGAAGTACTTGACTGTAGGATAAAACAAAGAATTCCAAGTTCTTGCTGCTAACTACTCTTTTGGAAGACTAAAGGAGACGGGGGAACTTAAAGAAAGAAGAGAGTTAAAGGCAAATTTGAAAATAGATAATAAGAAACAATTATTGCGTTTGGCTTCTGTGTTAGAAGTTAGACAATGGCATAATGCACTAAAAGTGCTATATTTAATCCAATAGGTTAGATAAGTTGCTGCACACCTGTTAAAGTTAACAAATGTGAATTGTTATGCATTCCACGTACGTTGTATAAACTATCTGAGTGATTGATTCAGTTGTGGAAAATATCCAGCACTCTATTTGATAGCAAAATTAGTACTGCTTAACTTTATGAGCTGTTGAATGTGTCATTATCATATCCTTCTGATGCTTGATAAAAACATCATTATTGCAAACCATGGAACTATCATTTCGTCCATGCCCTCCTACCAAAGCTCATGATTGTCTATGTAGTTATTCTAAAATTTGCAATTTTTTTATGTCTGTAATAGCAATTTGAGATGGGTTGAAAGTTATAAAATGATGATGTTTTCCTTTAACTTTACTTTTACCATATCTGCATGCAGCCTGTGAACAACCCCATACAGAAGGAAATGCTACTAAACAGTGACATTTCAAGAGTGTCTTGTGTGCTTGCTTATTGCATTTTCATTCCCCTTTTGGAAGAAGTTGTTTATAGGGGATTTCTTTTGACATCACTTTCATCCACCATGGACTGGCAACAAGCTGTTGGCATAAGCTCAGTTATATTCAGTGCCATTCACTTATCCGGTGAGAACTTTCTACAATTGTTCATCATTGGGTGTGTTCTTGGATGCTCCTATTCTTGGACTGGGAATTTGAGTTCCTCTATTGTTATACATTCCTTGTACAATGCTTTGACCCTTGTAATATCTTATTTCTATTAAATTATATTTACAAATATGATTGAGCAAAATTGTTGCCATACTTCATTTATTTTACCTTCCTCTGAATTGTTTGTGCTTATTTTTTCAATAAATAATTATTTTAAAAATTATTTCAAAAACACTTATTTTAAGTTTAACCAAACTATATTATTTTAGAAACAAATCTTATCTACTTTACGTTCTAGAAAATAAATTGTTCTAAATTAATTATTCTTTTACAAAACCAATTATGCATTAAATATTTTTTTAGTGTGTAGTAAGAGTAAACAAGTTATTAATTAAAAAGATAACTATATACATAATGTATTCTATAAATTTTAAAATATTAACTATATTTTCAATGCTTTTAATAAATCCTTAAACATGTTTAAGTTAAAAGCAACCTATTAGTGATTATCAACATTTAAGTTCAAAGTTATATAGAAAATGGGAAAGTTTATTATTCTCCTAACATTTAATGTAATTGAATGAGTATATGTTGGTATACACTGTGTACAACACTTTTTAAGGAAACTTAACGTGAAAGAAAGAAACTATTAAATTCGCGTTTAAAGGCTTTCAAATGGAAAAGCAAACGCTATTACTCTATTTACCTCACATAATTTCTTACCAAATTATAAAATTCATTATAAAGTAGGTAGGTAACATAATTTCAGGATTTGTTAACCTTTTTACTAAACTTTATTATTCAATTTTCATACATATTAACGTGATTTTACATACATACTGAGTTCTTTATTATTTCGAAAATAAACACCCCATACATGTACCATAAAAACCCTTTTCATTCATCTTTATTTATTTTGTGTACTTTGGAGCTCCATCACCTTGCGTGTGTGTATGTGTGAACAGATGGTTGGTGAAAGGTTACATGGTTAATTGAAAATGGACTTTCTATTTCAAAACAAATAATAGACACGCAAACAATAATATAATGGCTTTTTTATTTTAAGATTGATTGAACATCGAAAGAAAATGATAGAAAAAGATATAAAATGTTTTTTTTATGGCTTACGCAAAGACAATAAATAATATTATATATATAAGATATAAATATTTTAATCAATTTAAAATAATTTTTTAAACTTGAAAAAATTAATTATTCTACAATATTAATTCTTATTTAATCATCTTTAATTTTTAAGTAAGAATATTTTCATCATCTTGTTATTTAATTTAATTAATTATAATTTTTTACAATTTTATATTTTTTTTATTCAAATAATTTTACTTTTTATTTTATTTTTTTCTCTCATTTTCTTTTATTTAATCCAAATAAAAACATATTTTTCTTATATATTCATAATTAATTCAATTAAAAGATATTTTAAAAAAATAATGATTAAATAATTTTGTTATTACTTCAATAATCACTATTTTTTAATTAACTACACGTTATTCTTTTATAATTAATGATCTTCTCTCTTAAAAAAATATATTCTCTAATGAACTATTAGGATAAACAGGTTAATTAGGGGTTTGTTAAATAATTAACATGTACATTATTACATTAAAAAAAATCAAAATACTTTCAAATCATAAAGTATAATATATATATATATATATATATATATATATATATATATATATATATATATATATATATATATTTCACAGTTAACTTAAGATGCTTACTAGAACAAATTAAGCATATGATCATAAATATATTATAAGCATTTTAATATTCTTTTCTCAAATATAATCATCACAATATTTAATATAAAAGTCAATTCAAAATATAAGTATTGAACTCACAATATTATGTTCACATCATAAATTTTCTGAATACACAAATACTTAAGATAAAATCAAAATAATATATAAATATTTTAATAATAACAATGAACATCTTTAAAATCATTTTCTGAATTCTTTGTCCAACTTTTAGTTTATTTATATTTTGTCACCAAATCAGTGAACTAGCGTGGGTCCCAGCCAGACTCACTTTGCTTTCGGATGTGTCAGAATTACTACAACACAACCCACGTGGTCCCACACAACAACACCGTTGATGCTTACCCCGCAATCAACGTTGGGATCAAAGGACGACTCAGATCAAATTTTAAACCAATTCCACCAACTGATCATCGCCACGTGCCATTTGATGCGTTGGATTCCACTACCCCTCTTGGTTTAAAGTGGTATCGTCTCTTCTTCAAGCACCTTGTAGACATACACAACTCCAACACAACCCATTTTCTTTTTTCTCTTTCTCTCTGAAAAAGAGTTTTTTGATGGCTGGGTTTGAACAGCAAGTGAAGGACAGAGCCAAGGAGCTCAAGGTCTTGCTCAAGAAAGGAGTGAAGATTGTGGGAGATTCATGCAAGAAGGGCTGGAACAAAGTCAAACATATCAAACGCTGACTTCTGATTGTAATAACTTGTATGCCCTATTCTAAGGTCCCTTGATTCTATTCTCTTCATAGGTTTACTTTTTTTTCATATCTATTTTTGCTCCCTCTCACCCTTTTAGGGCTCTTTTTGTCTCATCCTAGAGTATGTAATTTTGGTGTGTCCATGTTAGTTTTTCTTAAATCTAAAATTTGTTTGTATATTATTCTTAATGTTCTTCCTCGGTGTTTCTATTTGAAGTTGTTACTGTTTCCTTCACTCAAATTTTGTAATATATGGTGGTGTATGAGATTTGAAAATTATATTGAACACTGTTTTGATTCATTGACTTTTGGGTTTGAATAGAGACAAGCGATTTGGCTACAATCATGATGATGATGATGAAATATCAGGTTTTGGGGGAAACATAAAAGGAGACAGAATCGTGTTTGAATGCTTTATGCAACTTTTAAAGTTGAAAAGGAACTCATTAAATTTCTATTGCTTTTAACATTGTTGGTAATTGGTAGAAGCTCTTATTTGGGGACCCCTGTTTTGTGGCCCACAGATGCAGAATCAGTGGTAAATTTCCAGACTCTATGTTCTTATCTTCCTTCTTGTTACATAGAAAATAAACAAAATATTAGAAATCCCAAAAAATTTAAAAATATGAAAATGACTAAAAATATATAGAAAAGGAATGACAAATTTGATTAAATTGAGATAATCAAAGGATGAAGTTTTGCATCAATAAAGATTGTATTAATTTGGATCCATTTGTTTAAATAGAAGGAAATACAAGTTGAGACTGTATAAACACTAAGCACAAAAGAGTGATAACTGTTACACGAAGCACATTTTTTTTATTTTTAACTAGAATATAACTATGATAAACTAATATTTTTAATATATAAATTATATTATAATTAGAATTCATAAAAAATACATGGGTTTATAGGATATAATTTAAAATATAATATTGATTTTTAGCTATTAAAATATAATAGTTTTTTTAATTGTTACACGTGGCAGCTTGTACTGGACTTTCAGAGAGTTTTAAAAAACGTATACTACTTGAAGAAGTATTCAAGTATATTTAAATTGGGCCAAAATGAATCGGGCTTGAAAACAAGGGGGGCAACCATTTACTAATAAACACACCTAGCCACAAATTATTAAAGGGAATAAATAAATTGAAATTTTAGCAAGAAAATAAAGGTACATCACACACCACATGAGATGCTTATTTGGACGTAGACTTTTCAATGAAACTCATTAAAATATATTCAAATTCACTTTTTCTTCTTTTTTTCTTGTTCTCATCCTTCAATCATAAGCTCCAACACCGTTTTCCAGCCTATTCAGGCTCTAATTAGGAAAAGTAATCAGATTAATATAATTCTGATCGAAATTTAAGTATGAATTGAAATTATCTACCTGAAATAAATAAAAAAGTTAAATAATATTTAAGTAATAATAGTTTACAAATATAATATTTTAAAATTTTAATTTTTAGAATAATATTATATTCTCTTGTATGTATTAATTTTCCTTCAAATTATTTAATAACTTTTTTTATTTTAGATAAATTTTTTATTTACTCTTTTGTTTTTGACAAAAATTTTCAAGAAAATTACGTTTAAAAGACATTTTGGGAGAAGATTAAAAAAAAAATATATATATATATATATATATATATATATATATATATATATATATATATATATATATATATATATATATATATATATATATATATATTGCTGAGTGACCTTTTTAGTAGATGATTGACACACTTGACTTTAAAGCTTCTATATGCATACCTCAACATCCATGCAAAATAGAGGAAAGGAGTAACATTGTTCTTTTATGTCTTCATTGTTTCTGTTTCACTTCTACTATATTTAGTTTATCTCCTAATACAATCATGTTTAACCACTGTACTAATTTTCATTACAATTTTGGTTAACTAATAAATTGAGTATAGAGGAAAATAATAATTAATTATATAATAAGTTAAGATTTAAATATATATTTAGGAAGATATAATCAAATATATGGTTAGTTGTATGAAATTGTATGTCTTTATTAAAATGAATTTGATTTGAGTTGAATGGTTAGAATCATTAACTACTAGAACTTTAATACCTCCAACTAATTACTCTTCATATTTTGACTTTTGAAATCTAAGATTCATATTCTAAGTTTATTTCATAAGTTTTCTTTTTTAACCTTTTGAAGGTATAATAACCAACATGATTACCTTGAAAAGATGCTCAAGCTATGTTATAGGTACGTTTATTATCTAGTTATAGAGTGTGTTTGTAAAATATACATCAAAGATCAAGAACTGTCCACAACTAGGTGCATGTGAAAGATATTAAATATGCTATAAGATGTGTAAGTACGACCTACCTACATAACTTTTTTTTTAAGGGTGGTGGTGACCATTAATGTGATTGGTAAAGCTTGTACTATTTATCTTCTTTGGTTACAAATTAAGAAGATTCCAATGGACTAGCACCCACCTTTCCCTTCAAGCAATCAAAATAAACTTCACCCAAATTGTACCTCACTCATTTATTAGGATCGATGTTGTCAATTAAAATGAAGGAACTTGAATAACTAGAATGTTTATTTGTTTATATAAAAACAAAGCTAAATCACCACAGAAAAAAATAAAGAGAATGAAAAAAAAATACCTAAATTCGTGAGAGGAATGGAGGATCAGCAATGTGAAACGAAGCCAAAAAGAAAGAACTTTGATTTAGCAGCGACATTACATGTGAGGATCAAAGAGAGTGAAAAGGAAAAAAGACAGACACAGAACTGGTGTTTCAGTGTTAAACAAAGGATTTTCACAGGACCATGAAGTGTGAAGGTACGTTGTTGTTTGTTGTTTTGGATTGACAGAGAAAATGCATTGAGTTGCAGTACTATCATTAATATTAAAAATATTTTTCCATAATAATAATGTTTTCCACAAAACAATCAATAAGAAATGAATTCTTCTCCATAACACACTTCACCCATAATTAATTCTAATGATTTTTGTCATGTTCATAACAACCACACTACACAAATTAATTGTGATCTGATTGTAAGAGGAAGTGATGAAGAAAAGAGTCCAAACAAGTAGTTATACCAATATTTTTAAAGAAGATTTAGTGTTCAACTATGTGACCAGAAAACGTAATTCAAATAAAAGATCCATCTAAAAGTGACAAGTAAAACTTCCAAGATGAATTAACCATTGACTAACAAGGAAAATAGTTTAACTATGTTAATTTTATTTTTTCCATGAATTATTTTTTTAATCTCTTGTTCATACCGATAATAACTTCATATTTCTTGAGCATAAGAACTGTTTTACTTGATGTGTTCTCTCTGTGTATGTAAAAGAAATTCTTTTGAAACAGCATTTGAGAGTCTTCACAACTCCTATTTTCATTTACTATTTCCTCTGTGGTCAATGTAATTGGTGAATTCCTGTCTGCCACACCTCTTCAAATCAGTGTTTCATGTAGAAAATAGTTGCTGGCATGGCAGAGCAATCCAATTTCGATTCAGCCGTCTAAATGTTGAAGAATAAGGACAGGGACAGAGTCTGAAACCAGGCAATTTCGCTTCAAACAACAACTGGGACCATAAGTCACTTTCATTATCACTAAATCGATCCTTTGTGATCACTATATGCACCGCCCCCCTTAATAGTCACTTTCAGTTCAAGCTCATGAAATTGAACAAGAATAACTTCAACAAAGAATATGTCATATACATATAGTCTTCTTCGATGATGTGACAATAGTTTAAGTTCAACATTTTTCCCCATTTACCATTTTACAACTGACATAGAGGACCAACTCCACGCATTGGCATCATTGGTTACCATTTGCCACAAAGGTTTCTGTATATGCTAAGGTACACATAGAATACTTATATTCAATGTCCTGGACTCTTAGGCCTTGTGTAGTCACCCATCAACTTAAGGAAGCCAAAACTTCGAAGATTAGAACAACTCTGTCGGCATTTTATTGCATGGACCACAGCAACTAGTTTCGTCCAATGCAATGGATAAGGTATGACTTTCGAGGCCATATGCATCCTATGCCTGCCTTTACCGATAAGTCATTCCTATCCTGAATCCTCCAATTTGTCCTTCCTGTATGTAGAAGTATTATAAGTTGTTTTTTAACTAGTTTAAAGGCTAAAGCTAGAATACCAAGTGAAAATGTATGGCTTAGATTTAACCAAGCTTGGAAGTGCTTTCAAAGTGGTTCTTTCTTAGGCATTGACAGAGATCAGAGATATAGTGGTGAGATTCTTACAGAATACTTGAAATTAGTGAGAAAATTAACAAAGTAACAGTAAATGTCACAAACGTGAATTGTCACCACTGAGAATAACTTGTTTATGAGGTGTTTTATATCAAATCAAGATAAATTGGATTAGGGTTGTGTATAAAAAAAAACAATATGAACATATAGATTCAACCCACCCAAAACTTAACTATAATAAACTATACCAAAATTTGATAAAAACTGAAGCAATTTAACCAAATCATGGTTCAGTTCAGTTTTTCTCGGAGATTCAAATCTAGTCATGTGTGTGGGGTCCAAGGCTTATGTTGGACCCATTTTACAGTTTAAAGTAATATGCTCTGAGTTTACATGATTCCTTGTTGCAGGGGTGTATTGAATTCCATTTCTATTTGACTGACAGTGTTTCAGCCCAGGTGGTCCAACGCAGTGGATTGGACTAAAGTATTCAATTAAAAAATCACCGAGTTTGCTACCTTTGCTACTCTCGTCTAATTCTTCTACCGCAAAATTCTTATATGACAAATTTTACAGTTTGGAAAAGAAATGAGATAACAAAAGATAGGATAGAAGATGACAATGTGATGAGGAGACATATAAAGAAAAGAAAAAAGCGTTGTAAAAGATGGTAGAAATAAATCATTATTAATTTCATATATAACTTGTAGAGAGAATGGTAATTAGTAATTACACATAACCCAGCATTAATTTTCAACTTCTCTGACATAATACATATGGACCAATGAGCTGTCGTATTCTATGCAAGGATGACCTATAAATAAAGATAAAAAGTAACAGTCAGAATAAGAGGAGACACGCAACTACGCAGCATAGGAGGAAACAACTTATTCTGCTCAGTGATTTATCAACGTGCATTAAATGTCTTCTCATCCTTGGGTTATTTAACCCTGAAAGACCGTACGAATTTGCATATGTATGCATGTTTGTCACTTGGTCACCAAACACCCTTGTATATATCAATTCACCAAAGATTCCGGATGAGTTGTCTAGTAAACCACTTGTTCTAAGCATTGGTGACGTATAACCGCTTGGAACTGAGTTGAATTGTTGAGTATGATAAGGATTACTATAGGGATGATGATAACTTTGAGAAATAGGTTGGGAAACACTCCTATTGTTCAATGATCTGGGACCACGAGGCCTTTGTGGTATGACATTCCCTACTTGATGCGGCTTCCCTTTAGAAGGTATCGTGGTTTGGCCACGGCCATATAATGGAACAAGGGAGGATTGAGAAACTTCTGATTTGCATACTGGACATTGTGGCTTCTGTTGCTCTTCATTGTCTAGAGTGGTACTTTGAAAATGAAGCCATATGTATATGCAGGGCCAGCAATAAAGATGACCACAAAGTGTGACCACTGGATCTTGCACACACTCAAGGCAGATGTTGCAGTCAAAGCCACTAGAGGCAGTTATATCAGAATCTGAAATGACTTCCTTGGAAGATTTCCATTTTTCTTTTTGGGGCACAGTCTCCTCCAAGTGATCTAAGGCCATTTCTGCCCTTCAGTTTTACAATGTTTATTCTTAAAGGTACCTGAACCTGAGATGCACAAGCACACCATGTATGAGTTCAGTTGAGTGTTATTACAGATTGGTCCATAGTTTTCATAAATGAAGTTTTGTTAGGATGAGGGGGTTTAAATTCTAAAAAACACTCAATAAAAGGTTCAAATAAGAAATGTCAACATTTAATAATGATGGTTTGGCAAACAATGGACCAAAAATATATCAACTTTAACCCTTCCCCAAGTCCAACATAAACTCCCTGTTTCTCAAAATTAATGAACGTGGAATATGTAAATAGAAAAGACAAAATAGTTAAGTGAGAGATATCAACCAACCAAATGAAGTGCAGTGTTTTCGTCATCTATAGATTAGGAGAATTATGGTCACTTGGTTAGCCATTTTAGTTGCAAGATTCCCAAAAATAACCAGTATTTGTAATAAATAAATAAAAACAGAGTCATGACATCAAATCAAAAGGTTTACAGAATAATACAAGGGGGATGATCATTTTCAGCTAGGCATTGGTTGGTTGGTTTGGGTGGGGTCGACTTTGGCTTGAGATGATAAGTTCAAGTAATGGGTGACCAACCACTTCTTAACTACAAAAAATTTATGTTTAAAGAACAATTCTTTGAAAAGTTAAATTTACATACAAATATTTGAATTTGAACTATTCAAATGCCAAATGTGGAAAAACCAACGGGTTAAACTATCCAGACACCTTTTCTCCATAAAATATAAAAAAAATGGAGAATATCTTATAATCATACACCCTACTTTGGATAAAAAGTCTATGGTGCTGTGCAACAATAATTATTCTATTTTATTTCTTAGTAGTTGAAAATGGATTTGGATTTGGATTTTATGATGTGATTAAATAACAATGGATGGTTATGCCGGAGAAAAAAGTAGACAATTTTAATTTTATATTTATCAAATAAGGGCTCAGCACGATTGGTTATAGTGCAGTCATAACTATATTTGTCAAGAATTGCATTTCTCTCTCTAACCATATCACATTATCCAAATCCATTAAAAATAACTCTTTCACTTAATCTCTGTTCATGAAGAAAAAAGGTTATGGTAAAAAAGATTTACAAGTCTGCAATCACTTGTTGTCCATTATTGCAACAAAATGACAATACTAATACAATTGCAGGCAGAACTCATTTAAGAAAAAAGCTGGCCAGAATCTAGTGAATGCAATTTACATTTTTTCCCCACTGATATTCTCTTTCCAAGAGGATATGTTCATAATACTATTAGACTATTATAAAAATCTTTATCTACTGGAATTCAGTCCTTAATTCGTTACATTATCAGAGACTAGTTCTCTTCCAATAGATTTAAATTTCGCTAATAGTCAATGCAACTTACCCCTTACACTAAATTACATTACATGAGTGATTGTTATGGTTGGGATCATAGAAAAGGTTCTTCCAATTGAACAAGCAAATCAATATCATAATATCGCTTAAAGCAAAAAGATAGTTTGAAAAGACACAGAAACCTCTGTCCACAATCTCAAGGATGTCATGCATCATGTAGATCATGTACTCTGAATGAAAAAAATCTGATATCCACCATGAATAACCAAATCACTTTTTGCAGGAACGAGAAATTTCTGTTGGATTCCCTCTCACTTTCTTGTTTTCACAAACTATTTTCTAAAACAATTTCGCACTACAACAATTTTGTGTAGGAACTACAATCAGTTTTCAAAACGAAAAAATCAAAGGCACCCAAAATAAAGTTCTCTCTAGATCTGCCATGAGAGAACAAAATTTAGCCATCAATGAACTGTGGAATACAGTGGCGTGTGCTGAACACAAAAAGCGGTAGACATGGTATTTGTTTCCATCTATTAGAAACATAGAAATCAGGATCTCAATCATCACGCAGAGTATTGATTGTTGCTTCATAAGTTTTCTTGCGCATAAGTTAAAGCATATATCCATTGAAGACCAAGCGGTTCCCACGACAACCAAAAATAAGAAACAAAAAAAAAAAAAAAACACTTTTGATGGAAAATTTCAACACCCAGATGAACATAGGAGGCTAAGCAGACATAAATAAGGTGAGTAAAGGAAAATAAAGACGAAAGTTCAAGACCCATGTTTTCATATCGTGTGCAGAAAAAGAGAAAGAGAGGAGTTTGAATACTTACAGATGATATAGAAGGGAAGATTTTGTTTGGAGGGGGCAATTTGAATAGCAAGGCGTGAGAATATAGGAAGGTCGATAGAAAAAACGAAGGATAGTTGCGTTGAAGGGTAGAGACTGAAGGAAGAACAGGAATGATGAGGTACGAGATAAAGAAGAATTGGCAGATAATGCGACTTTATAGAATAATTACACCCTTAATCATGGATATGATATGAATTCGGCGGGGAAAAAAATAATTATGATAAGAAACTAAATATAAAATACAAATATGAGGAGTTTAGTTTATTATGCATTATTACTATCTATACACAGTTTTTTCTTATCTTGTTTTTCTTTCTTTTCCTTTTTCTCCATTTATTTTTATTTTTATTTCTTTAATACACTAACAAAATTTTCGTATTGTTTAAAAAATGAAACTATTTATTTTTTAATTAATTGAAATATCTATTAAAAAAATTACACGTATTAAAACAAATAATATGTCAAATATTTAGTCTAAACTAATATTGTTATATACTCTATGAGAAGATATTAATCCTGTAAGATAACTCTAAATAAGTTAAAAAGTCATTAGATTTTCTAGTTTCTTTGTAACTTATTTTGCGATTAACATATGATAAGATAAAATATAAAAGGAGGGTAAATAATAAAATTAGAATTTATTTGTTTATTGTTTTTAAAATCGATTTTAGTTTTTAGGTTTACAACTAAATTTTGTTTTGATCATTATTTTGTTAAAACAGTTTGAGAAAAAAAATTGTCAAAAATATATTTAAATTTTGTTTGTTAAATTAAAAAAATGAAATTCTTTTTTATTTTTTTAATATTTCCTTTTTTTAATTGTATCGCTTTTTTTATTATTATAATTACGTTGTTTATTATTTAGTTTTCATCTCGATTATTTATTATTATAAAATTTGTATTTAAAATAGTTTTTAAATTAAAATTATCAAGTTGATTTAAAAAATAAATAAACAAAACTAAATCAATAAGTGGTCAATTCTTTAATTGTGTCGATTTAATCTTAAGACAAAATAACTAATTGTAACTAACATGAGCAATTATTTTGAATATTTATAATTTTTCAATTATTTTGATCAATCCTGAATTTTTTTTGTTTTTATTGGTTTTCTAATTATTTTTGAGGAAAATCTACATTTTTATTCCATTAAACTTTAGATTTAATATATTTATTTAAGGTATTATAAAATTAATTCAATTAATTAAAATAGAGAAGAGGATAAAACCATTGTAGACTACATTAAAAATATATTAAAATTATCAAATTTTTAAAATAAGAAAATTAAATGTCTATATTTGGTATGAAGAAATCAAAATTATAGATTCAATAAGAACAAAAAATAATATTATATCTAAACATAAAAAGATGTTAATGCTAGTAATTTATCATAATTTTAAAGTATAATTTATACTTTATTGTATTCAAATCACACGATATTGTAGATATACGTATTTATTATAATTTTAAAATATAAATACTATTTATTATATTTAATTGTCATATATCGTTTTAACGTCAAAATGTCTTTTATAAATATGTTATGGAGCAATTATAAATTTTATTTATTTTTTAAAATATTATCTCCTAAAATTTATATATAAAAATAAATAAATTGAATCACCTTCTGACGTGGGACCATGCATACTTGTCTTATCGGAGTCCCCAATTGAAATGGATAACATTTCCTGACGTGGCGCCACATATAACACATACTTGCACGCGCCTCGAGGAAAAAACTCTTTTTCTAATATTTTTAATAATATTTTTTAACATTTTTTCTTTACTACAATAGAGAATGTATTGTTTTTAAAAAATGGATGAAAATATATTAAGAATTATAACTTTATTATTTATATCTTAATAATGCGAAAGTATTTAAAGATATTTGATAAAAAAAAATACTAATACTTTTATTTTCCGGAAACACAAGTAGTTCTCTTTGGTATAAAAAAGAGAAAACATATATCATAATTTTATATTAGTTGTCATTTTTTAATATTTAATTTTAAAAAAAATGCTGTTTTTATTTTTAATATGATTTAAGCTAATGACGGCAGAATAAATACCGCTTTTCTTGTTAATTATAGAGCAATATCATTAACATTAATTTACTTATAATTATTTCAACAAATTTTCACATACAATAAAAATTAAACATGACTTTTCTACTACACTGACTATCATAAAAAACTGAATCACATGATTATTTAAAAAATTGAATTTTTCATATATGATTAAAATAATAAATTCTATATTAAAAAAATTATTATGTGATCTCACTCAACTAGGTTATATTAGTGTGCATATTAATTAAAAGTGATTGAAATTTATAATAATTTATGCTATTAATAAAAATAAACAGTTTTGCTATTGCTTTGTGTCATATGTAATTTTTTCTATTTTTAAATAATATATAATTATTTTTTTAATCTATATTATTAATAGAGTGAATTGATTTATGAAACTAGTAAAAATATTGTCTGTATTTTATATTTATTTTTATTTATTAAACTTGATGTATATAATAATTTTAAAATATAATTTTTATGAATTGTTGAAAATAAATAACGTTTGACAGAATTTTGAAAATAAAAAGGTGAAAAATAATAAGGAAGTAAGAAAAAATGTATATATATTTTTATTTTTATTTACTATTTCATATTTTTAAAAATATAATTGAAAAATATAAAAAAGAATATATGACATATAAATTATATATTTTTTCTCTTTTTTATGACATAAAATATTTCTATTTATTTTGTTTTAAAATTATAATTATTATTTTAATATTTTTATAAAT